GCACGCTCCTTCACAGGCCCCTCTCCCGTGCGATCCCTGCCATGTATGCTCAGGGCGCTCTGGGAGGCAAAGCCTTTCCCACATTCATGTATCTGGTTCCTCTCCAGCGCGGCTCCGCTGATGATTTGTCAGATGCAGCTTCTGAAGGTAGCTCTTCCCACACCCAGAGCGCCCGTGTGGCCACTCTCCGGAGCAGATGCGCTGGTACAGACGCAGGAGCGGCGGCTCTTCCCACACTCCGTACCTTGGTATCTGTCTCCCACATGGAGGCCAGGATACCTGGCCAGGTAGTCCTCTGAACTCTAACCCCGCTCTCTCCTTTGTTGCATCCATGTCGCCTTTCGTCCTTGGGGGTCCTCCCAAGCGCACAGAGGCAGCGCTTGGAATGGCAGCTCTTACCATACCCGGAGCATTGGGCTGGATCCTGCCCTCCGTGACTTCAGGTGCTGGACAAAGAGCTCCTGAAAGCAGGTCTCTTGCCGCAGTCGGGACACCGGTACCTGTGTGGAACTCCTGTTGCGTAGCCAGGAAGAAAGCCTTTCCCTTGGAGATCTCTCTCCTATGTGGGTTCTCTGATGCCCATCAGGTATGGACTTGTACACAAAGCTCTGCACTGGGAACATGTATACGGCTATTTGACCCTGTGCTTTATCTGATAGATGCACAGATAATCCTCACAAATGAAGCTTTTCCCCACACTCGGGGCACTGGAGGGTATCCTGTCCATGATGGGTTTTCAGGTGTTTGGTAAGGTGACATTTGTACGCTTCTCTTGCTCCTCGCCTGCATGTGTGATCTGATGGGCCCAGAGACCATTCTTAGCATCCAGGCTCTTCCCACACACCGTGCATGCAAACAGTCTCTCTCCCCGTGACATTGCTGGTGTTTGCGCCGATAACTCTTAGAGATGAAGCTCCAACCATACTCTGTACACGTATGTTCCCCGACATGAGATCTCTGGTGCAACGAAAGATAATGCCGGGAACTTTAGCAGTTACCACACACTGGACATTTATAGGCTTCCTTTGTGTAGTGAAGTCTCTGGTGCAACAGGATTTAAACTTTTCCCGCATTTAGAGGCTTTGTGTAGTGGCTCCCCTTGGGGACAAACTGGGTGGGATTACGGGGTTTGTTGGAATGTGAATGTTTGCCCACTCTGGAAGGGCTCTTCCCTTCAGCGAATTCTCTGCTGTGCCTTCAGGTATTACTTGGAGCTAAAGGTTTTACCACACTCGCTCCATTTGCTCTCCCCTGTGTGGGACGTATAGTGCAGTTGAAGGTAATGCTTACAAAGGTAATTCTTCTCACACACCATGCATTTATGCACAATCTCCTCCTGCAGGTGACTTTTCTCATTCATGGAGAGATCACTCTTTAATCAAATACACTATATCCACCGGATCACCCTTGTCCTCAAAGAATCCTACTAGATTGGTGAGGCATGATTTCCCTTTACAAAAGCCATGTTGACTCTTCCCCAACAGATAGTGTTTATGTGTCGGATAATTCTGTTCTTTACTATAGTTTCAATCAATTTGCCTAGTACTGAAGTTAGGCTTACTGGCCTGTAATTACCAGAATCACCTCTGGAGACTTTGTTTTTTTAAATCAGTATTACATTAATTACCCTTCAGTCATCTGCTACAGAATCCAATTTAAGCGATAGGTTACATATTACAGTTAGTAGTTCTGCAATTTCATATCTGAGTTCCTTCAGAACTCAAGTGAATACCATCCGGTCGATAAATGCAAAGTTATGCACATTGGAAAACATACAAAATGATGGGGTCTAAATTAGCAGTTACCACTCAAGAAAGAGACCGTGGAGTCATCATGGATCGTTCTTTGAAAACATCCGTGCAATGTGCAGTGGCAGTCAAAAAAGCGAACAGACTGTTAGGAATCATTAGGAAAAGGCTAGAAACAGAAAGGATCATATTGCCTCTATATAAATCCATGGTACACCCACACTTTGAATACGGCATGCAGTTCTGGTCGCCCCATCTCAAAAAAGATCCATTAGAACTGGAAAAACTACAGAGAAAAACAACAAAATGATTAGGGGTATTGAACAGCTTTTATATGAGGAGAGATTAAAAAGACGAACTGTTCATCTTAGAAAAGAGACAACTGAGGGGGGATATGATAGAGGTCTATAAAATCCTGACTGGTGTAGAGAAAGTAAGTGTTATTTACCCCTTCACATAACACAAACATTAAGGGTCACCCAATGAAATTAACAGGCAGCAGGTTTTAAACAAACAAAAGGAAGTACTTCTTTACACAACATCCAGTCAACCTGTGGAACTCATTGCCATGTGATGTTGTGAAGGCCAAAACTATAAGTGAGTTCAAAACAGAAGTAGGTAAGTTCCTGGAGCAGTGGTCCCCAACCATTCTGTGGAAATAGAACATTCCTATTCCCAACAGACTGTGGTGGGCGCCAAACACCCCGCTGCCCAAATGCCGCCGAGAACTGGCAGCGGAGAGAAACCTTGCTGCCGAAATGCCACCGAGAAACGGCAACGCTTCTTGGCCGCCTTTTGGCGGGTGGTTCTCAGGTGGCCGCGCTTGGCGACAGCATTTCGGCAGCACGGTGTCCTGCGGGTGCACACAAGTGCCCCGGCGGGCACCATTGCACCTGCAGGCACCGCACTGGGGACAGGTCCATTAATGGCTATTAGCCCAGATGGTCAGAGATGCAACCCCATGCTCTAGCTGTTCCTAAGCCTCTGACTGCCAGAAGCTGGGAGTGGATGACAGGGGATGGATCACTTGATAAATTGACTGTTCTGTTCATTCTCTCTGAAGCATCTGGCCACTGTCAGAGACAGGATACTGGGCTAGATGGACCATTGGTCTGACCAAGTATGGCTGTTCTTATGTAATTACATAGATAAATTACTCCTTACCGAGTAAGATCAATGCTTCACAGAGCTCCCTCATCACCTCTTGGTATAGCTCCTGCCATTCTTCTAAAATCCCCCACTCCTCCTGGGAGAAATAGACTCTGAAATCCTCAGAAGCCAGGAGTGGAAGATGGGGGACATCACTCGATAATTGCCCTGTTCTGGTCATTCCCTCTGAAGCACCTGGCACTGGCCACTGTCAGAAGACAGGATATTGGGCTAGATGGACCTTTGGTCTGACCCTCTATGGCCATTCTTATGGTCTTTAGTGGTGAAGGGCTGACCCACTGCTAGAGAGCAGGAGAGAAAGGGGGCTGTGTCTGCCCTGTGCCACAGAGCTGTAAAGTATCACATTATAAAAGAGGCAGGGGAGTGCTCTGGTCCCTGTTTAGCCAAACTCCACATTTCATACTCAATCATTCCTCAGAGCTCAGCTCCTCCAGCCCCCAGGTTATTAGAGCTGCATTTCTCTGAAAGCCTTCCAGTTTAGCAGTGTCCGCACTGCCATGCGTAAAGCTGGCCACAGGACTCCATGAGCAGCCAAGGCAGGGCCAGACCCACCCCTGCTGCAGGAGGGGCCACGTTCCCATACGCACCTCAATATTGCAATGCTGCTCTTAACAACTGGTTCCAGGAACACCCACGTAGGGCCCCACAAAGAGCAAACCACGCAGACCAGGGAAGGGGGAAAGATCAGGGTGGATACTGGCCATGTCAAGCAGTGTGATTTGGTGACTCAGATCAGCCTGTTTTGCAGCCATTATCACATTGCAAACTCGGGTCTCATTTGCTTCCTGCTGCCTACCCTACATCCCATTCAGTCATTGCTGCTTCCTAGATTTCTCCCTCCCATTGGATCGTTTTTCCCCAGATGCGTCAGCTGCATTTTCCCAAGTGCCTGTCACACACAGGCTCAGTCTACGCTACAAAGTTCTGGAAGCAGAGCTATGTTGGCTAGGAGTGCCGGGGTGGGGGGGACCCCATACCCCCTAGCTATGCTGGCAAAACCCCCAGCGTAGATGCAACGATCAACCGTTTCTGGCAGCAGAGCTCATACGCATTGCTGCTGTAGCCACATTGGTCCCGGGATACTAGAGAGAAACTGGGTGAGGTCAGATCTTTCACTGGACCAACTTCTGTTGGGAACAGAAACAAGGTTTCAGCCGTGACAAGCTCGGAAGCGTGTCTCTCCCCCCAACAGAAGATGGTCCAGTGAAAGATATGACGTCCCCCGCCTTGTCCTGGCCTAGCGAACGGCGTTCAGGGACATGGGGTACCTGTTGGTAGGAAAAAAAAATCTCCCTCCATTAGGGGGCTCTGCCGGCACAGCATAGCACAAGGGTCCCCAACACAGTGCCCGCGGGTGCAATGTTCTGGGTCTGCGCATGAGAGGGACACCAGAGAGGATGGCTAGTGGGTTCCCTTTTTTCCCCATTTCTCCTCCTCCCCTTGCCTCCACCCTGCAGACTATTGCACGATTACCACGGCAGGCCCACCTTAGAGCACCCTCTGCAGGCAAACTTCCCTGGCACAAAGGGCAGCCGGGCAGCCCGTGGCGGCTCACCGCTGGGAAGAACGCCGCTCCCAGCCTACCGAGGTGGAGTGACCGCAGCCTCAGCAATGCCCACCGTGGTGGGAGTGCTCGTGTGGACAAGGTGCCTGCGGCTGCCGGCTTCTGGTCCCCATGTCACCGAGAGTTAGGCCCGGCTGGGCAACGTGCGCCCATGTAGCTGCAAAGGTGCAAACCCCTAACGCAGAAGGGCTGCAGCTGTTCCAAATGGGACTCGCCCCAGCACTGCACCAGGGCAGCGTCCCTGCAGGAGGGGGCTGCAGTTCTCCTGAGCACGGCAACCTTTGCACCGGCATGCAGGGCGCTCCCAGGCGCCCAAAGGCCAGAGAAACACGTGAGCTGCAAATTCAGCCGGCTGCGTCATCCACGCAGCTCCACTTCCCCCGACGCCACTGCCCGGTTCTTTCTTCACGCCAGTGCTGGCTCCCCAGTGCCGACAGCCCTGCTGTGAGAACAGGAGAGAGCTGCCCGAATTGCCTTTGGCTTGGGGAGAAAAAAAGGCCTAGTCCAGCAGAATTCAGCCAAACTTTATTCTCCATTGTGCAAGAGAAACAGAGAGAGGGACGAGGGCAAGGATGGCTCCCTACATCCCCAGGAGATCTGAAAGCAGCTGGAGAGGTTCAGGGCAGCAGGAGCTGCAGAGGAGAAGGCTGTGATGCCCGAAGATGTGACACTGTTCCGGGTGGCAGAGACCAGGCCTACATGAGCAGAGGGGGCAGAAGAATGCAGAGAAATGTGCTCAGCTCAGTTTCACAGAGGGTTTTAGCCACATGAAGTTTCCTGCTAGAGGAAAGCAATGTGGTCTAGTGGTTAGAGCACAGGGCTGGGATCCAGGAGCCCCAAGTTCGATTCCTGCCACTGCGTGACCAAGTCCTTTCACTTTTCCTGCCCCCGCTTGGGGAGAGCCAGGCTCCTCTGGGCCCAGCCCAGGGGAAACCTTGCACAAGGGCTGAGTATCATCATCAGCTCCCAGACCTCCCCTCAGCTCCGCTCTCGCACAGAGGCATCTGGGTGCAGGCTGGGGGCCGGCCCTGGCTCAGCACTGTGAGTTCGCCGATGGTCTTTGAGGGACTCCTTGTAGCGGAAGCTCCTCCCGCACTCCCCGCACGGGAAGGGCCGCTCGCCGGTGTGGACGCGCTGGTGCTTGAGCAGGTTCTGCTTGCGGATGAAGCTCTTCCCGCAGGCGGCACACTGGAAGGGCCGCTCGCCGGTGTGGACGCGCTGGTGGTTCTGGAGGTGCTCCTTGCGGCTGTAGCATTTCCCGCAGGCGGCGCACTGGAAGGGCCGCTCGCCGGTGTGCAGCCGCTGGTGGTTCTGGAGGTGCTCCTTGCGGCTGTAGCATTTCCCGCAGGCGGCGCACTGGAAGGGCCGCTCGCCGGTGTGGATGCGGGCGTGGTAGGTGAGCCGGGAGCGGTGGAGGAAGCTCTGCCCGCACTGGCTGCACTGGTGGGGCTTGGCCTTGCCGTGGGTTCTCAGGTGGATAATCAGGTTCTGCCGCTGCTTGATGTTCTGGCCGCCCTCGCTGCGGGCACAGGGCCTCTGCCCACTGCGTGTGGGCTGGGGGAAGCTCCTTCCGTACTGGACTGGCTCATCTGCCGGGGAGCAGGCCTGGGATTTCACGGCACTCGAGACAAAGGGCCTCTCTCCTGCCCGCGCGACGTAAGGGGCAGCCGCATCTCGGCTCTCGCAGGGAACTCTGCCCCAGCCAGGCCCCGATCCTGCCCCCGCGGAGGGCAACGGAGATTCTGACCCTGGAAGCAGGACTGGCTGCTCAGAGGATTTACTGAGCGCAGCTCCGCACCGATCCTCCACCACGTGGGCATCCCAGGGATCTCTCTGCTCAGGACTCCAGAAAACCTGCCTTTCCGACATCATCTGGTGCTGCTCGCGATGGGGGGGATGCTCCTCAAGACACTGCACCTCCGTTTTGGTCACAGTCCCACCTGGAACACAGAGAGAATCCAGCCACCTTTGTGCCAGGAGAACGAGCCCCCGCTCGGCTCCAGCCGAGATCAGGTCCCCTCTGTACCTGGCATGGTCCAAACACATGATAAGAGACATCCCTGCTCTGAAGAGCTCCGGTACTATGCTGCTAAGGGCCATCTGAGAATCCACCTAGACAGACAGAATCTAAACTGACCTGTGCGGGATGGGGAGAGAGGTCTGATCGTTATCCTGAGTGCTGCCCTCTCTCATTAGCTAGAGTTTGTGAAGCCTGTTAAGAGCTATGGGCCAAAAGGCCACATTCAAACTATCACTCACTGGTGCTCAAAGCCATCAATGTTTCTCTTTCCCTGGAGTCCTGCCGGCTCCCAACACAGGCCTCTTCCCCTTCTTCTGTCTGGGCCACAGCTCCCTTGGGGGAAACTAGAGATTCTGTTGGCAGGAGAGAGGACAACATTACAAAGTGTCCCACGGAGATCAGAAAAGCAGCTCCCGAAACAGGGCTCCGCCCAGTGGCGTTCTCTCTGGGGGGTGGGCTAATTGGACACACCTGAGGATCCGGAGCCAAAGGAAACCGGGGTGGGCTTGAGACCTGCTGAAAGGTCACAATGGCAGGTTTAGCAGCTGTGACCGGTGGGAAGCCATGAGTGACGATCCATTATGGGGAGGGCTTACGTGTAAAGCACCGGCACCTTGCGGGGGGTGCTGCTGTACAGGGATCAGGAAGCTGCTACGGGAAGCAATGAGACTCTGGAGCAATTCAGTAGCAACCGTCTTTTCTACCTACGGCTCCGCCACAGTTCGAGGGGCGGTGGCTGAGTGGCTAAGGTGCTCCACTGCAAGCCTGAAGGTCGTGGGTTTGCGCCTTGCTCAGGCCACCTCGCCCAGCTGCCAACTGCGTCCCTGGTTGGCTTAGGGCAGTCCCAGGCAGCTGCATGTGATGCTGACCACAGCACTTCTTCGCGTACTGTTGGCTATGAAACAGACATGCTGTAACTGCCTCAGCCCCATGAGTCGTTGGCTTGTGGGGACAGACTTCACCTGTGGCCCCAAGCACCTCCCAACCTTTCCTGTATTTATCCTCCCACAGGGGCAGCCCTGTTAGCCTCATTACGCAGATGGGGAACCATGGCACAGCGTGATTCTCACAGGCAGGGAATGAACTCAGATCTCTGGAGTTACAGGCTGACCACTGCACCGGCCTTCCTCTCTCCTCCTTATATAGGAGTTTAAGAGGATTTGGTTAGGTCTGTTTTTCTTTCCAACTCCAGCTACTGTAGGTGGATTACTGACCTGTCCCGAGTCCCGTGGGGATCTCTCTCTCTGCTATGTCCCCCCGGTCCCTGACACATGGCTCTTCCGTCCAGGACAGGAGGTAAGGTTTGGAAATAGCACCATCTGGAAAAGGACATCAGAGGCGGTTACATTTCACCATCAGTCACTGGATCCCTGCCACGTTACGAGGACTTGGAACCAAGAACCTGTCATTGCCAGAGGCCAAAGAACTCTACTGAGGAGACACGACTGAGCCAGTGAGGACTAGGGTAGGGACAAGATGTACCAGAAGGACCCAACAGGAGAACATGGGCGCAGGCCCAACACAGACCAGATCAGAGCAAGGTCATACACACATCAGCCAGTCAGGTCCATGGAGACTCTGGACCACCTCTTGGGCACTGGGGGACGGGAGATTGGTGGTAACCCCTTCCCCTGCAGCATGCATCTCGGGTAGCCAGCTGTAGCAGGGGCTTCCTCTCTGTGCGTGCAGAGGCCAGGACGAGGGACCACTGAAGTCCTATGGATTCAGTGGGCCGTGCAGGTGAGGCGGCTCCTAACTGGAGATTACAGAGTGTTTCTCGCACCCGCCAGGCTAACAAATAAGGAAACGATAGAGTTCAGGGGCGGCCAGCTCATGGGGAAGGGAGCAGCGGTTTAAGGGCATGTTGCTGTGTCAATACCCAGTTCTTGGTTAGCATGGTCTCCCCGCACACATCCAAGGACTGTAATAACACCCCTGCTGATCAGCACAACCCGACAGGGCCAGAATCACCCACTTCCACGTGCCAGGTTCTGATGTGCTTCTGCCTGGCAGCAGGTTCGTTTGGCCTGTAGCGGCCCCAGCGGGCAGCTCGTTGGGGACCAAGTGGGGGTCTGTACTAGCGTGGCACGCGTCAGACGAGCCCAAGCCCGCGGATGCCAGTGGCACTCACTGCCCCCAACGTGGGCAGAAGCAAACCCGCGAGGAGGGAGTTTCTATTAGGTTCCGATGGAGAAAAAGGGGCTGGATCCTCATGTACATTAGAAGCCCTGCCACTGCTCCGGTGGCATCAAGGAGCTTGGAAAGCGGGGGAGCTATCACGGCGCTTTTATACTGGCAGAGCTTTAGCGTAAACGAGACTCCAGTCAGGGTGCACTGGCCCTGGTGGGCCACCATCAGTGTGAAAACCCAGAAGGCAGCGCATTGCTGCGCTCATGACAGTGGTCTCCCCTAGGATTTCATGGGGCTGGCCAGCTGCGTAGGGTTAGCTGTAGGAACGATCCAACACCAAGAACAGCCCAACACAACTTTATTTTGCATTGCATCTGCCATATAAAACTACACCGCCAAACACCTGACAGAGTTTAACTGCACGCTTATGAAATTAAAATGTAAAAACAACAGGGGCAGGGACACAGAGCAACGGGTGAGAAAGAATCAATCTACATCCAGAGGGAGGAGAAATGTGGGGAGAGGCGGTTCTGGGGGCAGGAGCTGCAGAGAAGAAGGCTCTCACACAATCTTGCCGCTGTGGGTGTGGAGCGGGAGAAAGGAAGCGGGTTCTAGAGAAGAGACCCAGGAGTGAGGCCATGGGGGGGGTTTAGAACCAGAGCGGGACGTTAGTGGAGACTCGGGGGGACGGGAAGGGACGTGGCTGTTCTCTGGGTGTGGGAGAAGGCGGGGAGCAGCATTCGGCGCATGCACCAGCCTTTCCGGCTCTCTCTGCAGGTTGCGTGGAAGGGGCTGGTCCAGGGGATGGGAGATGGGTATGAAAAACGTGCTAGGGGTCCCTCCGAGGACGTGCCAGACACCCCGGCTGCCTCGCGCCCCGCGGACGTATTTGGTAAAAGCTTTGTTTCTGGCACGGTTTTTCACTTCGCTGCCTTGGATTTAACTCGTGGTCGGTTACGACCCAGTCCCGAGCTGCCATGTGGTCTAGTCCACGGAGTCCCAGGATCTAATCCCCAGCGCCTAGGGCCTGCGGGAGCCCAGGCGGGGGCCCCAGCTCCGCGCCATGAACCCGCTGATGGTCTTTGAGGGACTCCTTGTAGCGGAAGCTCCTCCCGCACTCCCCGCACTGGTAGGGCCGTTCCCCGGTGTGGATGCGCTGGTGCTTGAGCAGGTTCTGCTTGCGGATGAAGCTCTTCCCGCAGGCGGCGCACTGGAAGGGCCGCTCGCCGGTGTGCAGCCGCTGGTGGTTCTGGAGGTGCTCCTTGCGGCTGTAGCTCTTCCCGCACTCTTCACACTTGTAGGGCCGCTCGCCGCGGTGGATCATCTGGTGCCGCACCAGCCCCGAGTGGCAGTTGAAGCTCTTGCCGCACTCCCCGCAGGCGTAGGGCCGCTCCTTGGCGTGGCTCCGCTGGTGGATCTTCAGGCTCTTCTTCACGCTGAAGCTCTTCCCGCACTCGGCGCAGCCGTGCGGCCGCTCCTCCCCCAGCACGCCGGCTCCCCGCGGGATCAAGGTGCCCGGTAACTCGCCGAAGCTGCCGTCCGAGCGGAAGGATTTACTCAGTCTGTTCTCGCCGGGGTCGGCTTGCTGCGTCACCGAGCCACGCTGGCTCCCGTAGGCCGGGGCCTGGTAGAGCGGCTCCCCAGAGCCCCCCAGGAGCCCCAGCTCTTCCGGGCCTGCCTGGCGGTGACGCTGCTCCTCCGACTTCACCATGAGCCCGTCGCCTGCCGGAAGAAAGAAAGAGAATCTCATCCCTGGCTCTTTGGGGGAAAAGGCCCCGATCCACAGCACGGTCCCACGGAGCCGAGGGTCTCAGTGGCCTGGGCTAGGATGAACTGGGATGGAGACCAGCGGTGAGAAGGGTTTGAGCTCTCTTGGTTACATCCAGCTGCTTGAAGAAGGCCAGCCCCAGCCCCGGGAGAGAGGGTCAGTATCTGGCCCAGGGGTGGATTTCATCCAGAGAGAATTGGGTCACTGCCACCCAAAGCACTCTCTGGCCCCAACCACATAGGAAACAGGGCTTTGCAGATCATTCCCGACAGTCCTCACAGGGCCTGGGCTAGGGCAGCAGGACAAAAATCCCCATTTGTTTTAATGTGTCATAACAGTACTTTCCCCTCCTATCACATCTCCTAACCGAGGAGCACAAAAAATTCAGCAAACATTAACCACTTCACCACCAGCTAGATGAGCTAACAGTCCCTACTGGCCTCAATCTCTGAGCATCCCAGGAGAGCTGGGTCCCAGCTCCTAACACCTACTGTATGCTCCCTCCCGACTTCCTGCCCAAAGGAGAGGCTGGGGGTAGGGAGAGAACCCAGGAGTCCCAACTCCCTCCCTCCAGAGCATCTTTTGTCCCCGTTCTACTCTATTCTAGGCAGGTCCTTACACCATCCTGATCGCCACAGTATCTGAGCGCCTTCCAGTCACGCTTTAAGCGGCGTGACGACCCTCCGTCACATGGTGATCAGACAGTGGAGCGCTAATAAAGGTTTCTGGCTTGGGAAAAGATTGTTTGTGCCAATTTTCCACTCTAAGCATATTATTAAGATCTCAGCCAAACAGGCACCTGGCTGGCACGCAGGAGATGTGGGTTTCGTTTCCAGCTCTGTCACATCCACCTTGGCCAAGGCATTCGTCTCTCTGAGACTCAGTTCCTCATCTGTACAATGGGGTTTTCTCTGTCTGGTCTGTGGAGCTCGTGAGCTCTCATGGCAGGGCTGTCTCTCGCTACGTGGCGTGCAGAGCCCAGCACAATCTCAGTTAAAGAGTCTAGGTGCTACCAAAACCCAAAGGAACGCTCATCACTGGAAACACCCAGCCAGACACTCAGCTATGAAAACCAAACAAACCCAAAGTCGTACTTTCACAGCTGAGCACGTTAACCAGTTGCAGGCTAAAGCCAAAACATCCCAGATGGGTGCCTACTCCTAGCTAGGAGCAGCCGTCTCCCAAGGTTTGGGCACACATGGAGTTGAACAGGTCCCGGGGAATGTACTATGAGACTCCAAGGTCTCTGGCCAACGGCAGAGGTATTTGAAACAGGGGTTATTCCGGGTGGCAGACGCGGAAATGAAAAAGCATTTAATCGCTTCTCAACAGCTATAATCACTGAGGCTCTAACCACCTGCGCACACGCAACCCTCCCTGGGACTAAACAACGGGGGAAGTTCCCCACTAGGCCTCACGCAGGCGCTCTGGGCAGGGATCAGCTCCGGGCCATCTCGGATAGCGCATAGGAGAGGAAGGCAGCATCTAAGTTCCCTCTAAGCTGCACGGCCGCGCAGCTGCCTACTAAACCCGGACAGGGGCTCAGGGCTGTGGCGGGGAGAGGCGCCCCTCCCTGCCAGCCCCAGCGCGGACCTGCCCCAGACTTGCCGCCGCCAGGGGAGAGGAGCCCCTCCCCCGGCCTGGCCCAGGCCCACCGGAGCTGCCGGGGAGAGGAGCCCCTCCCTCGGCCCAGCTCAGCTCTGCCAGAGCGAGGCACCTTTCCCCCAGTCCCGAGCTGCTGTGGTGAAAGAGGGCTGCGGGGGAGAAGGGGGTCCTCTCTCCCCACCACAGCCCCAGGATAGCATGCACCCCAAGGGACCACTGTGATCATCTAGACCCGCCCACAAATAAACCCTAGAGCAGATTGTTTTTTGAAAAACATCCCATCTTGATTTAAAAGTGGTCAGTGCTGGAGAACCCACCACAACCCCTGGTAAAACATTCCCATGGTTAACGACCCTCACTGTTAGAAACTGCACCTTGTTGCCAGTCTGAACTTGTCTAGTTTCAGTTTCCAGCCATTGGGTTGTGTTAGACCTGCTGTCTCTGCTAGCCTGGATATTGGCTCCCCATGGAGGTACTTACAGACTGTCATCAACTCACCCCTGCACCTCCTCTTTGTCAAGCTAAACCCATTGAGCTCCTTGAGTCGGTCACTGTACTAGGTCCGGCTCCACCAGCAAACCCTCTCGTAGCATCTTTTCGCCAGGAATGCGGATACCCACTCCCCAAATGAAATGAGCTATGCCAGCAAAGAGACTTTTTGCTGGGATAACTGTGTCTACACTGGGGCTTTTGATAGCACAGGTATGTGTGTGTGTGTGCGTGTGTGAGATTTTTCACACTTCTCACCAACACAGCTATGCCTGCCGAACATTCAGGTGTAGACCCAGCCTGATGCCACTTCAGCCACAGCCAGCTGAAGACTCTGTGAAAGGCCGTGTGGACGAAGGAAGGAAGAGGGAAGCTGCCCAGATCTAGACCGATCAGGAAGCTTCTGCAGGAATCACTTGGAGGGAGATTCTTTGGCCATCTTTATACACGAGATCAGACGACACGATCACACTAGTCCCTTCCATCCTTAAAAATCTATGAACTGGTGTCTGCCACGAAGACAGGACAAACCTTCCCAACTGCAGGAGCGCTCCCAAGGGGCAGCTGGACTGCTGATTTTTGCGCTTTAGCCCCTGGTTTTGGCTTCTTTTAAGCCATTGCTCACCTGGGCCAGGGCCAGTGAGGATTTCTCTTTCGGCCAGCTCCCATGAATCCCGGACACAGGGCTCTTCCTCTTGCTTAATCCAGGATAAAAAGTCCTGGGCAGAAATCAGAGCGTCTGCACCTGAGGGAGAAAATGAAAACACGCTGCTTTCTAATATCCACAGAACACTCTGCTCTCAAGTGGATGGCCAGACTCTGCGTTGGGGGGAGCCAGAAGGGATGCAGACAGGTGCATGAGGCCATTCAAACCTGTCCTGTGCCCTGGAGGTCAGACCGCTCACAAAAAGGAGGGATTAGAATCAGAAGAAGCTGGCATCTAGGATGAAATGGAGGCCTCCCCTCCTTCCCCCCCGCCTCCAAAATCAGAGGCTGCTAAATTTGGGCCTCAAGTGACTTGCCCAAGGTCGTACAAGTCAGTGGCAGGACAAGACCCATGAAATGGATGAGCAAAGCTACAGAACCAGCAGAGTTCTGAGAGGAAGCTGTGCTCAATTTCCTGCTCTCTCACACACTCACTATTTGCAAGTTGTTTGCATCGATTAGTCACCTGCGCAGGGATCCGCGGGGATGCCTCTCTCCTCCGAGAACTGCTGCTCCCCGACAAAAGGCCCCTCCTCTTGTTTGATCCGGGACAGAATGTCGGGCGTTGACATCAGGGATTCTGTTCAAGGGATAGAGAATTAGAAGAGGTTCGTGTATCGGCCATTGAACCCTTCACACCCATCTCAAAGCAATGCCGTTTCCGCACTCCGGAGGGGGCATGTTCTGAATCGACACGAACGTGTTAGCAAGGCTCTTGGCTGAGGGGTGAATACGGTACACAGCATATCATCATGCTATGCATGGACGTGACATCACTGGACCTGCTGAGGTGCTTTAGAAATAATAATTCATTAAGCTCTGAAATCTCTCTGTGAGGTAATTAAGTACTAAGCATTGATCACTTCCACAGGTGGGGAAACTGAGGCACAGAGCAGCTATGCCTACACTTTCCAATAGGGACCTAACTTTAAACTAACTCATTATCCAGGTGCTGAGCATCCAGAACTTAATTTGAAGTCAATGGGAGCTCCAGGTGATCAGCATCTCTAAAAATCACACACGAGGTGTATCAAGTTGGGCACTAAAAAAATGGGGACCCCCAAAATCAGAGGCCACTTTTGAAAATCTGAGCTTAAGTGACTTGCCCAATATCCCAAAGCAAGTCAGTGACAAAATTAGGAACAGAGCCCAGGAGTCCTCACTCTAAGCCTCAATGCTCACCAGCTAGAAATCACTGCTTTCCCAGTACGGAAGAGCTCACATAGCGGGTCGAACCAATGGTCCATCTAGCCCAGCATCCTGCTTCCAACAGGGGCCAGTACCAGAGCTTCAGGGGCAGTGAACAGAACAAGGCAATCAAGGAATGATCCACCTGTCTTCCACTCTCAACTTCTGAGAGCCAGAAGTTTAGGGACACCCAGATCATAAGTTGCGTCCCTGACCCTCCTGGCTAATGGCCATTGACAGACCTATTCTCCATGAACGTATCCAGCTCTTTTTTGAACCCAGTTATACTTTTGGCCTTCAAAACTTCCCCTGGCGAAGTGAAGCAGGAGTTAAGCCTTAAGAGAAGTGGTTTAGAGCCCACGGTACAGCCATCACCAGAGATAAGGAGTGAGCAGTGAGAGGCTGAGGAGTGTAGCCAAGTAAAAGGGTACACCAACGGGAAGGTGTCCTGAATGGTTAAAAGACCAAAAAGAGCTGAAGAAGTCAGGACTGGAGGAAAACCATGAGCGACATGAACAGGCCTCGAACGGGACACAGACACATCAGCTGCAATTCGCATTCCACTCCCTGTCTCTGAGTGCTTGAATCTCATTCCTCACCTGTGCAGGGCTCTGGAGGGATTTCTCTCTCCTTTAAGTTCTGCTGATCTTGGACACGTGGCTCTTCCCCTCGTTCAATCCGGGGCTCGGGGTCCGCTTTGGAACGGGTACGGTCTGTTCACAGAAAAGATACCAGTGGAACCCAATGTTTCATTTTACAGCGTGCGATTGTTAGAGACCGTTCATTTATTTAAAGCCAACCCCATTTCGTCACTGGAGGGGACGGGGGGAACTTTGCAGCAAAAGCTATTGACAAAGACCCTGTGGGAAGGTAAAGCATTCAGGGGAAGGTGGGCTGTGCTCTAAATTCGAAGATCTCCGTATGGAGAGGAGCTCACAAAGTACAGATGGTAAACCACTCACCTATTCATAAAACTACAGCAGCTCAAACCAGTCCAAGGCAGGGAAAGCAACACCCGCCTGTACGTCTACTCACCTGGCTCCGCATTAACAAAGCGGATTTTTCACTAGTGCCATGCAGAGCCATGCTGAACATGCACAAGTAAAGATCAGTGTTGGGGCAATTTTAGCCCTGATGTCAGCAAGCACGACTCCAGAGATAACAAACCCTGGAGACGGATGGATTGGACCCATGACAGGGCAGGTGAGTCTCTCCCATTAAATGGGAGGGAGTGTGGATTGGAGGTCTAATTGCTAACCTTCGGGAGAGTCTAGCCACTGCCCCGGCTGAAATGAAAAGGCCTTGCGCTCTGCCTGGAGCTGGGGCTGTCTCCGGCACATCACAGATCACACACACCGTCCGGTAAGCAATGAAAACGCATGTTTACCCAGCGAGCTCAAAGATTCATAGTTCTCCTTCACGAGGTTATTGTACAGCTCCTTCTGCCAGTCTTCCAAATTCTTCCACTCCTCCGCAGAGAAATAGACAGCCACGTCGACAAACGTCACCGGCATCTGCAATCACAAGCGTGTGGGAGGTCAGTAGAACTGGCCTGCGTTAGGCAGGAGGTCAGACCAGACAATCGCAATGGGCCCTAAAAATCTACCTGTGTAAGCTGGGAGTCTCAGTCCAACGCCCAGGGAACAGTGTCCATATAACCAAAGTCAGCATCCCTTTTGGTGCCAGTTGACACCTTTGTTGGCAGTCTCAACAAACAGGCCAAAGACCAAATGGGCCATGGAGGCTGAACTGCTCTAGTTCAATGGTTCTTCCAGGAGAGGGTTGCGGTGAGACAGCGGAGGGAAGCTCGGAGCGCTGCCCGCTCCTTTCAGACACAGGAAGACTTCGGTCTCCAGTGCCACCAAGCCAACACCTTCCCCCAACGTCAACGTCACACAAAGATTCACAGGAAAGAAAGCGGAGTTACACTGACCCACCGTATTATCCAGCATTACCGCTCCTCCTCATTCCAAGCAATTCCACAGCAGTAAACACAAGGACCTACACATCATGGAGATATTACAGAACATTTCAGCACATGCTTCTCAGCACTAGCTGGGGTATCGTTACCTTGGGGACCTCCCCTTTAGTGCCTGGGGGGAGTCTCAGGACCCAGAAGTTCCTGTTCTTCAGCAGGTTCTCCACGTTCTCCAGCCTCCTCTGCAGCAGCCCATACTCCTGGATCAGAGTTCCCAGCACGGCCCACTTACTCTCCAGCTGGTTATTGAACTCCATTGCTGTTTTTTCACAGTCTATTAATTTCTTCTCGGCCGTCCCAGATCTCCCCTCCAGGCTCAGCAGGCGTGTGGCCAGCAGATCGATCTTCCGCTCCATGGCCTGCACTGTGGCCACCACAGTCCAGAGAGAGGCCTCTGCCGTGTGCAGCTGTGCTTCTCTCATGTGAGCGCGCTCGGGGACAAGGGGCGGCTGCAAAGGCAGCAGATGCTGTGCCTCGACGTTCCATTCCTGAATCTGTTTGCAGGGAGAGAAATCAACAACGGCTGAAGTCGTGTTTATTCAGTGGCAAAACGCTAAAGGATCAGGGAGGATGCGGATCAGGATCCAAACATCCCAGTGTTTATCTGAACCTCACTGGCTGGGATTTGGCCTGGATCTCTCAGGAACTCAAGCTCTCGTCTGTGAATTCCAGTGCATCCTGTTGCCAGCCAATCTAGAAATGCAAGGCCATACTTCCCCACTTCACTACTTGGGCTTCCAACCCCAACTGGAAAGAAAGTACAAAGACTGGCAAATATTCACTGGCCGAAAGGAAAAGAGGCAAACTAGGTCAGTTCTTATTGTAGTGAATTCCTCCTCCCACAAACAACATTCTAACCTGCAGAGGAATGTCCAGCCAGGCCAGCCCAGGGAAGCCTGGGGAGAAGAGAACGTGATAGATGAGAAGCACGGCCCAGGGAGGAAGGGAGCATGTGCAGGGGATGCAACAGAAATTAGCTTCAGTCACAACAAACAAAACACACAGCACTTGAGTGGCATCCAAACAAAACACCTCCCTGATGTTACACTGAGCACAGGACAGTGCGCGGGTGACAGTTATTTCAGTGGAGCCTATCTAGGTATTTATACCATGTTCATCAGTGGGATAGCTGGAATAGTCATTTGCTCCCACTAACACCAGTCAGGACCTGATCCAAAGCCCACTGAAACCAATGGGAGTCTTTCCACTCATGGTTATCACAGCAGGAGTTAGGAAGCCTAACCGAGGATCAAGGCTCCGTAGTGGTAGATGCTGCACAGAAAAATGACAGAGACTTTGCTCCAGAAAGCTCACAATCTACAGGTCAGAGACAGGACACAACAGATGACTAATCAAATGAGGAGGGTGCAGGTTGGGAGGATGAGGGCAACACAGAGCAAAAGAATTTAGCCGAAAAGTAGAAGCCATAGTCTATGGACTCTACCTGGCTTTGGGCAGACCTTTCAGGGCCAGCAGGAATGAACGGCCAATTTTCCATCATGGCAAATGGCGAAGAGGGAGGTGCCCCACGGATCTGCACTAGGATCAGTGACTAAGATATTTACTAACTGGGAAGAAGGGGGCAAAGGTCTGACGATGGCAAAAGTAATTCAAGTTAGTCAGGACTAAAGAAGGCTCAAGAGGGACATTTCCAGCTTGGGCGGATGGACAGCACAAGGGCAGATGAAATTCCTTGTTGACAGACACAATGTAACCCACTCTGGAGGATGTATTTTGAGCTTCCCGGACACGCTGTGTGAAATCCAAACTTCAGTCTACCAAATCAACATGTAGCTGTGATCAGAAAAAGCAAAGACAATGTCAGATGCACGAGGAGCAGGACAGAAAACTATACTGAGCAGATTATTGTTCTAGTGGGCTGGGAATTTTTCAACAAACTTTTTCCCTGACTAGAAAATGCTGATTTGTCTAACCTGAAATTTTTCACAGAAATGGATCCGTTTTGAGGAAACTTTTGTCAGGAAGGTTTCCCGAGTCTAGGATGGAATTGCTGGTCAAAACCAGAGAGCATCTCACCCCAATGGTTAGAACAGGGATCTGAACTGAGGTCTCTGACATCCCATCACTGGGCTATTGGCTATTCTAGAGGGAATCTCTCATTCATGTTTTTTCACAGAAAATTTCAAAAGGTCCCGGTTTCCTTCTGATGCAGAATGAAAATAAATTTTGAAACCTCAAACTTTTTTTTGCAAAATTGAATTTGTGTTTTCCGCCAGCTCAAGTTTTTACACCATCATACAACTCAATGGGACGCCCTTGGCTGGACTCCTGGGGTCAGTTCTGGTCACTCTTTCTCAGAGAAAATAAGCAGAGTAGAAGAGGATTAGAGATGGACAACAAACAATTAGAGGCCTGAAAAAGACTTCCTTAGAGATTGAAAAGCTTGGGGATGCTTAGTATAGACAGAGCAGGAGACGATACAGGTCTACAGAATACCGAATGGTCTAGAAACAGTCCGTCAGGAACTCGTCTTCACCTTCTCTCGGAGCATAAGAACAAGGGGACGGTCAATTAAAGTGAAAAGTAAATTACTTTAAGCAAACAAAATTGTGTAAGTCGGTGGAACTCACTGCCACAACGTATGTTTGAAGCCAAGAGCTCAGCGAGGATGAAGGCAGGCCTGGACATTCCCATGAATCATAAAAGCCTCCCAAGAAGGACTCATGCTTCAGGGAATGAGCCAACTGGGCAAGAGTCTGGAGTGCTGTTGATTCCCCAGCTCAGCTGAAAACAACTTTCCTGCCCCAGTGAAGCCCAGGTGTCCCTTTCCCAGTCCTGACCTGCGGCTGCACCATCCGGCCCAGAAGTCCCCACCTAGCCTGAATCCAAAGGTTCAAATCCCGGCAGGGGCAAGGCAGTCCCCTCACGCCCGCTGTTCCGCGTGGACAATAAGGCGGCCAGGGCACTTCCAACCCGAAAGGCCTCACCCCACCGCCCCTGCTCAGACCGACCCACGCTGCTGGGGCCCTCCGCGGATGTCCTGCCCCCCAGAGGGGGCTGCCTCTCGGCGGGGCGCTTTGGGATCGCCCAGGAGGGCCGGGACGAGGGGAAATGACCCTCTCAGACAGCCCTCGGCGGGGGGCGACTCGCAGTCCCCCCCCCGGGCCGGCCCGCGCTGCCAGGAGCCGCGAGCCCCCCGCCCCCCCAACCCGCGCGCTGCGGCCGGGAGCCCCCGGGCGGGCTCGGCGGCACGAGCCGGGCCGGTCCCCGCGCCCGGGCTGCGGCCAAGCCCCGCTCCCGGCTCAGCCCGCGGGCCGCGCCCGGCCCCAGCGCGGCGCTCCCTTACCTGGGCGGGGGCCCACTCGGCCATGGCCCCGCGCTGGCTGGCTCTGGGGGGAAGCGGCCGGGCCGGGGCTCGCTAGGGGCGTGGGCCGGGTCCCGCGGCCATGCTGGGGAGGGAGCGGCCCGAGTGCAGCCTGGGAGGGAGCCGCCGCCGCCGCCGCCTCGTTGGTCCTGCGAAGAGCGCGGGCGGCCGGCGCGCCAGGGGCGGCGAGCTCCGAGCAGTGCCGCCTACCGGGCGCGGGCGCAGCGAGCTCCGAGCTCGCCGCCGGGCCCGGTCCATGCGCAGGAGCCGGGGCGCAGGGGCTTGTCCTGTATCCGCCGGGGCGAGGGACCAGCAGGGGCCGTGCCGGGCCAGCGCCCTGCGGGGGCTCCGGCCGCCAGAAGCTGCTCCGGCAGCCGCCCCGGCCTCAGCCAGCGCCGCTCTCCCGGGAGCGGCCCCGCCGCCTGGCTCCCTGCCCCGAGCCTGCCAGCCCGCCCCGAGCCGAGCCTGCCAGCCCGCCCGCCCTGCGGCCGGCGCCCCCGCCTTTAGCCGCAGCCCGGGCTGCTCTCCCGCCGTCCTCGGCACTCCCCCTCGCCCCTGGAGACCCCAGCCCCTGGGGCCGCAGGGAAACGCCCGGAGAAGGTAAAGAAATATAGCCACGAATGACTGACTGGGGGCCCAGCCTTGATCCCGCGCCGCTCAGTGCTCGAGGGCAGGCAGCTCTTCGCGGGATCAGAGCCCCGGGCTGGCCCATGTCAGCCGGCGTGGGCTGGGGGGCTATAAAATTGGGCTCTGGGACCCCCCAGCCCTCGCCCAGGTGACTACACTGCCCTTTTACAGCCTCGCCAGCCCCTTGTATTGCAGTGTAGACATACCTTTGGAGAGCCAGCATCAACCATGTCTTCAAACACACGTGCGCGACCATGAGGGCACTGGTCCGGGGATTCTAGCAATCCCCAGCTCCTGCTACAAAGGGTCTGGACTGAGTCTCTGACCCCTCTGGCACTTGGGGCATAACCCACTGCTCTGTCACCTATTCTATTTCACTGTTGCAGCCCTAAGCCACCATAGCGGAGTGGGGGATGCTGCCCATTCTCACAGCGGAGCTGTCAGAGGAAAGCAGGAGCAGTCAAATCACCGGCCGCAGGTGCTAGGATACCCTGAGGTTGAGGATGGTATAAATCCCTAGCCAGAGGAGAGAGCCGTGCCTCAGTTTCCTGCTCTGTGCAGAACAGTGGTGCGTAGCTAGTGGCCCTGATTCAACACTCTCTCACAGGCTATGCTGGTGCAGTTCACGCAGTGGAGTCACACTGGTGTGACAGAGAGACCCAGGGCCAGCATTTGCAGCAGAAGAAAGTCTCCGTTCCATGAAAATGGTGGGAGGGGGAATCCTGGCTTTTCCACTGACTTACTTAGGCCAGTCACAGCGTCTCCATGCTTCAGTTTCCCATCTGTAAAATGATAATGACACTGAGCCACCTACCTTCCAGGAGTGATCCAAGGATGAATTAGCTTAGCATCTGTACAGTGCTTTAAATATGTGAAGAGCTATATGAAAGCTGATGACCTGATCCCCTTCTCTTCTACCAGTGTCAGTCAGGGGTAATGCCACTGGCCTAAGACCCACAAGATAAGAACCAAATCCTCACTAGAACGGTCAGTGTGCTCAGCCCTCCAGGGATGGATCGTTTTACTACTTAGTTGCTCTAGAGCAGTGGCTCTCAATCTTTCCAGACTACTGTATCCCGTTCAGAAGTCTGATTTTGCCTTGTGTACCCCAAGTTTCACCTCACTTAAACTACTTGCTTACAAAATCAGACAAAAAAACAAAAACAAAAGCGTCACAGCACATTACTGAAAAATTGCCGACTTTCTTATTTTTACCATATAATTATAAAATAAACTAGAATATAAATATTGTACTTACATTTCAGTGTATAGCATATAGAGCAGTATAAACAAGCCATTGTCTGTATGAAGTTTTAGTTTGTCCTGACTTCACTAGTGCTTTTTATGTAACCTGTTGTAAAACCAGGCAAATCTTTGTTAGTGGAGAGCACCTCCACTAACAAACTAACCCTCACAGCAGGCCAGGAACTAATCCTCATTTTAACCACTGGGAAACAGAGAGAGCGAGAGAGAAGTGATTTGCCCAAAGTCACAAAGGGAATGAGTCCGCACTAGGACAGGAATTCCCTGCCCCCAGTCCTGTGCTCTGACCTCACCTATCAAAGCGGAGTAGGGCCCCTCACTACTCAGATACAGCAAAGGAAAAATAATCATGACAGAACTTGAGAACCAAGAGCACCATCTAGAGGCTGCAGACCCAAACGCTGGAACAGAACTGCTTTGCCCAAAATAATTTTTATTAAGGTGAAAGAACATTATTAGAAAACTATTTTTTAAACACATACATACACGTAACGTTATCATTCTAGATCACACACATACCGTGCACGTTAAACCATATGGTAACAACACACCACTTTTTAAACCAGAGATAAAGGAAGATACTGTTTTTACAAAGAGATGACCAGAACTGCTGGCCCCGGAGCAGGGAGCGTGTTTTCCAGCAGTCACATTAGTAGGAACAGCAGAATCCCGGAGTTTGTAGGGATGGGGCTTTTACCTGCCAAGATCTGCACTCAGGCTGTATTGCAGGAGAAACCCCAAAATTACTTGCAAATTACATCATTTTGCCAGTTACACCCATTTGCTAACCACTTTTGACTGCTGGCATCTTCTTATTTCTCACAAGCAACTCATGGGATCACCAGGCCTCGAACATACAACTTACACTGCCATTTACTCATTCATTTGGCCCCACTCATTCTGTCAGTGCCTCAATTTCTCTTCCCTTCAGCGTGTCTTCCTCATGCCCCACAGCTGTTTCCCTCACACCACTGCATGGTTATCTTTAGGGATGTGGCTTTCATGCTATGGCCCCCAATTCTAACCTCAGATACTGGGGGTGCAACTATAAACATAAAGCAACAGGAGTTGTTTTCTTGTATCAAAAAAGCAGACTGGCAGCCCACATTCCCTTGGCCGATACTTGCCCTGCACAAACAGCCTGCGGGTAAGATTGCTCTTGCTTTTTGGTTTAGAGACGCGGCCGTGCTCCCTCACACCCACGCAGCTTCGTCAGGCCACATGGCTGTGACAGGCGGGAGCGCACACAGGTTCTCGTGGGCTGTGCAATTTCCCCTGGGGCGTAGCGACAGACAGGTGCTTGGGGCTTGCTCATTTCCTGTTGCGTTACCGTGTTGCTGTTCTCAATGTCTATTCACCGGGCTGCCATCAGCACCAGGGTTTATTCTCACCCTACAGTGCCCATCTTCAATACCTGCCTGGAGCTGGGCGCAGCCTGCGGGTGACCCAGCTCGGTGCCATGAACCCTGGCGTGATCCTTCAGGGACTCCTTGCAGCGGAAGCTCCTCCCGCACTCCCCGCACTGGTAGGGGCGCTCCCCAGTGTGGATGCGCTGGTGCTTCAGGAGGTGATGTTTCTGGATGAAACTCTTCCTGCAAGCAGAGCACTGGAAGGGCCGCTCCCCAGTGTGGATACGCCCGTGGTTCTGGAGGTGCTCCTTGCGGCTGTAGCTTTTGCCGCACTGGGTGCATTTGTAGGGCCGCTCCCCGGTGTGGACCAGCTGGTGCCGGACCAGGTAGGACTGGCAGATGAAGTGGATACCGCACTGGGAGCACTGGGAGGGCCGCTCCTGGGCGCGGCTCCGCTGGTGGACGGCGAGGCTTTTCTTCAGGCCGAAGCTCTTGCCGCACTGGAGGCAGGAGTAGGGCTGCTCGCCGGTGTGAACTCGGTAATGCACAGCCAGCTTGGAGGGCTCGGCGAAGCGCTTGGCACACTGGGCGCAGGGCCGCTCCCCCGAGTGGATGCGGGAGTGGTAGTTGAGCCGCGACCGGTGGATGAAGCTCTTGTTGCACTGGCCGCACGGGTAGGGGCGCTCCCCGGTGTGGGTGCACTGGTGCACCGTCAGGTTGAAGTACCTGCGGAAGCTCTTCCCGCACTGGCTGCAGATGAAGGGCCGCTCCTCCGTGTGGGTCCTCTGGTGCTGGGTGTAGTGCTCCTTGCGGCCAAAGCTCTTGGCGCACTGGGCGCAGGGGCGCTCGCCCGTGTGGGTGCGGCGGTGGCTGCGGAGCTTGGACTGCTGTGCAAAGGTCTTGCCGCACTGGGCGCAGGCGTAGGGCCGCTCCCCGGTGTGGGTGCGCTGGTGGGACAGCAGGGTGTCTTTCCGGGTGAAGCTCTTGCCACACTGCAGGCAATGAAAGGGCCTCTCTGTGGGCGGGCTGAGTTGGGGGACAGCAGTGCCCTGGGGCTCAGCGATTTCATTCCAGCCGCCCCTGCATTCCTTGGGCTGCCCCAGGTCGTTCCTCAGCTGCATCACCGGGCCAGGCAGACTCTCACAGGGTGCTCCCCGCTCAGGAGTCTGCACCTCGCTCTCTCTGGATGTCCCCAGTTGCACCCCATGTGGCTCTGGGCTGTCGTGGCCTTCCCTGACAGTCCCCTCCTCCATTTTGATCACAAGCCCATCACCTGCTGCAACAAAATAGAATGGTTTTTTTCCCCCCATTTCATCTACTTGGGGCATAAGAAACCACTGGGAATGTAGTCGCTTAATACATGTGATCATGTCCCCTGTGTTGGGCATAGCAAATACAAGAGCTTCCTAATTCCCGACAGCTGTACCAATGCCGCCATGACCTGCTGGCCCTAACCCCAACGTGTGCTGAACTGCCCAAACAGCCAGATTCACGGGGCAGCTGATACACTACAGTGACCGTTTCAATTTTCCCCTTCTCCAGGCCCGAGCCCAGCACTGACCTATAACCCCACATGGATCAGGGGCTAAGGCACAGGGCTGACATTTTGGAGTGGAAGAGACCCCAGTCTTCTGATCACTGACTCTGCGTGACCTCGGGCAAGTCGCTTTTGTGCTTCAGTCTCCCAGTCTGTAAAACAGGAACAATGGCATTTCCCCTCCTTTTCCAAGTCCCTATGGATAAAAAAAGTGCTGTGGAAGTGCTAAATATTTCCATCCCCTCCTGCTCGGTGTGATACCCACAAGAGATTTGCTGGACTCTCTCATTTGACTTCTCTCCCAGTTTACAGAGGCTGTTACTCTAGAACTCACACATGTTGGGATCTGCAGGGATTTCTTGGTCTTCCAATTGTTGCTGATCTCTGCTGCACGACCCCTCCTCTAGTTTAACCTGAGATAAAATGTCAGGTGTCAGAACTGGAGAGTCTGTTCACATAAACAGAGTTATTTTATTGCTGTAACACCTAGCAGGCCAGTCACAGCCCAAGCCCCCATCCTGCTAAGTTCTGTGCAAACACAGATTTGTATAGACTTTACTCATGCAATTATAATGCTTCACAGAATCATAGGACTGGAAGGGACCTCAAGAGGTCATCTAGTCCAGTCCCCTGCACTCATGGCAGGACTAAGTATTTTCTAGACCATCCCTGACAGTGGTTTGTCCAACCTGCTCTTAAAAATCTCCAATGACAGAGATTCCACAACCTCCCTGGGCAATTTATTCCAACGCTTAACCACCCTGACAGGAAGTTTTTCCCAATGTCCAACCTAAACCACCCTTGCTGCAATTTAAGCCCATTGCTTCTTGTCCTATCCTCAGAGGTTAATGAGAACAATTCTTCTCCCTCCTCCTTGTAACAACCTTTTACGTACTTGAAAACTGTTCTCATGTCCCCAGTCTTCTCTTCTCCAGACTAAAAGTAATACTTGCATATTATTTTTCATGCAGAAAGCTCAAAATGCTGTACCAAGATGGGTACACATTAGTATCCCCTCTCATACACATCCACTTTGAAGGCACTAGGAGGTTGACCTGGCTTGCCTCAGGCCACAAAGCAAGGCAGTGGTGTACGGAAGAGAATTCCAGCCTCCCAATTCCCAGTCCTGAATCTGATCCACTAAGCCACAGAAGCCACTGAACACGTCATAACAGATTTCAAAACCGACTGCAAACTGTGGGATGCTTTGGTATCAGGTATATTCCTTCAGCTTTGGAAACATTTTTAGTCATGCCTTTTTGGCCAAGTTAATTATCACACTCTTCTTCTATCACACTCATTCTTGGAGCTCATATGAGAGGCGATGGCTTAGCATCAGATTTGAAATACCAAAACACTCTGGAACCGCAGGTTCAAATCCCAGGAGAGTCAACTGAGCTCTTAATCCTTCTCAGGTAGAGAAATGGAGTCTCATGCTGTCTTTACAATGTATGTGGGTGAGGGCTGGGGAAGGTATTTCAGAGAAGACCTTAAAAATAGAGGTGCTCTCCAGAGATGATAGGAGCTCAGACACATTCCTCAGGAGTACTCATCCTTAGCCAAAGTACCCTCTCCCTACTACTTCTGTACAGCATGCAACGTGGTCACTATGGCCTTCCATCCCAGAGGTGGCTGCATTTCAGTGGTGCTGTGCACATGTAGTTTGTGATGGCTGTTGGATGAAAGGCCCTTTGTAAATGTAAGATACTGTTGTTTACACAGAGGAGAAACATTGCTTTGTGTTTTAAATTGTCTATGAAAAATTAAAAGTGGATCTCAGACCTTTGCTGGGGTGAGGCATGCGCTGAATGGACATGGGCATGGACATTAAGAAGGCTCCAGATGGGACAAAGGGAAACTTTAGGGTCCAGATGTGCGGAATGCCCAGAATGCTGAGTACACAGAGTGTTAGATTCAGAGTCAGTTGGGAATGAGATCGGTGGAGATTCCAAGAGTGACAGCTCTCGCAGGCAAGGACAACAGAAATCCATGGGCAAGGGGATTGTGTCGGAAACCATGGAACAATAGGAGCTACCGAAGGCTTTATTCGATTTTTCGCTAAGTAACTAAAGTGAATAAACAGGACAAATGGGGAGTCCTGGGCTGTCAATCTAGCCTCTTCCAGGAGCATCGAAACCACATCATACATATAAAAAGAAAGTTTAAGTGGAAGGTCGGATACCAGATAAGCACACAGATACCAGTGAGGGGCACTGTGCAAGATCCTAGAGAGAGTTTAGTCCTTCATCTGGTAAGTTTACAAAGGTTAAAGAAAGCAAACTGTTAGCTAGTGATCTTTTAATCTGAAGATATAATTAGTCATTTGACACAGCACATAGCAGCTTCACTCCACTGTCCGTTTCAGATCTATTACTCACCAGTGCTGGGATCTGCAGGGGTTCCTCTCTCCTCCAGAGCTCCCTGCACCCTGACACCTGGTTCTTCCTCCTGATCAGTCGGTGATAGGATGTCAGGTTTGGAGATGGTACAGTCTGTTCATGGAAAGAGACATTAAAAGAGAAAGTGTCTAATTAATATTTGCTAGGCACCTGGCAGAAATTTTAAAAAAATCTAAACCAAGCCCCACAGCGTCTGTTTCTCACCAGAAGGAAGAGAGCAACCTGAACAGATTCTAATGTTAACTAAGACCGTACAAGAAAGTACATTAAAGCCTTGGTGGGAGCAGGGTTGTAATTCCTAGAAGAGATGCAGAGATTCCCAGAAATGATGCAATTTGAAGACTTCTTCACTGCACCAATATAATCCCCTTGTCCATTGACAAACCTGTGGAAAGGCCAGAGTCTATTTCAAAGACAAGGCCAGGCCAAGGAAGGGATATGGGGAGAGGAAAGACATAGAATGGTTTATATAATTGCATGTTTCTGAGCCAGCAGAAATTAAAATATAATTTTGGTTTATTGCTAGTTAATTACTATATGGGGGAAAAACAGCTCCCTTGACTCATAACACAATCTCCTCTTAAACCTGTGGGCGTGTGCACACGTGTGTAGGGTTTTAAGTGGTATTAGTAATAAATATGGAACATTATGTTAAACTGCTGGAGGCTACCACTGTTCCCTTGATAACCTATGCAGCTTTGATTCAAGAAAACACCCTTTCAAGGCAGCGACGGCACATACACCCTGCACGCAGACTAGCCCAGGGTTTTCTATGCGGGGGTGAAGCACATGCATAAATAAATGCAACCTTCAAATAAACAAACAGGACAAGACCTGAAGGTATCAGAGCCAGGGCTGTGTGTGTTCCAGGCTCCTTTCAAATGGAGGATGGGTGGAACTGACCACCGAGCAAAGGCTCTGTGGGACCTATATGTTCATTCATAGAATCATAGAAGGTTAGGGTTGGAAGGGACCTCAGGAGGTCATCTAGTCCAACCCCCTGCTTGAAGCAGGACCAATCCCCAATTTTTGCCCCAGATCCCTAAATGGCCCCCTCAAGGATTGAACTCACAACCCTGGGTTTAGCAGGCCAATGCTCAAACCACTGAGCTATCCCTCCCCCCTGAACCCAAAGGAGCTGTCACCTCCTAACTATTTATTTATGTAGCTCACCCAGGGGAAAAACAAGGAAGAACTAGCTGAGGTGCTGTCCCCATCTTTCTTTCATGCCCTAGGCTCCGGTTAGGCCTAAGCTTTAGTCAGTGAACCTGGCAACCTGACACTTTGCTTAACTCACAGCTTCTCATCAATATGTGAAATCTGATTTTTACCCAAGCAGATCAAAGAGTCATAGCTGTCTTTCATCAAGTTCTTGTAAAGCTCCTTCTGCCATTCTTCTAAATTCTCCCACTCCTCCCTGGAGAAGTGGACTGAGATGTCTTCAAACATAACCGGGACCTGAAATCACAAGCATTACACGCACAGCACTTTCTGCTGCCATCCTATCCGCACACACCTTGCTTTTTATCTTATATTAAAAGACAGCTGGCCAGGCACCAACAGTGACCAACACCCAGCACGTCCCACCAGCTGTTTGGTTATATACATGAAATGTGTTGGGTTAGTTCCTCTCAGACAGGCAGCCACATCACAAATGGCACGAACTGGTACCCATGCTCGTATTCTTGCCAGAGGAGACCAGGAATGGACAAGGACAGGGAATTTACTCTTTGATCCCTACAAGTGAGGATTAATGGGAAGGAGCATGGACTAGCGGTAAGGAAGGAAAACTCAAGTTAGCAGGCTTGGGATCTAACCTCAGCTCCGATACTGACATGCAGTCTCATAAGAACATAAAAACGGCCATACTGGGTCAGACCAATGGTCCATCTAGCCCACTATCCTGTCTTCCGACAGTGGCCAATGCCAGGTGTTTCAGAGGGAATGAACAGACCAGGTAATCATCAAGTGATCCATCCCATCTCCCTTGACCATCCTGTGCCTCTGTATCCCCATACGTACAATGGGGATAATCATAGAATCCTAGAATATCAGGGTTGGAAGGGACCTCAGGAGGTCATCTAGTCCAACCCCCTGCTCAAAGCAGGACCAATAATGCTGCTTCCCCAGCACTTTAATGTGCTTACAACCCAGCTGAAAGGTGCTATACACATGTAAAGGAGACTTCTCCTTCTAGGCTACCTCTTTCTGCTGCTCATGACAGGTTACACCTGTTTTAAACTGTGCCCAACTGGAGACCAGACTGGAAAGCTAGATAAAGATGCCTTGGTCTAAAACAAACTGCGACATTTATATATCTGCCCACAATTACCCAGTTCTCTCTCACCATTCAGTGGAGGAGCTATGCCACTGTTCCCCCACAACAGGCCCACTATTTCACTATCTATTGGATACATTCATGGGTCCATCAACAGCTATTAGCCAAGATGATCAGGGATGCAACACCATGCTCTGGGAGTCCCTAGCCTCTGACTGCTAGAAGCTGGGACTGGATGTCAGGGGATGGATCCTCAGTAAAATGCCCTGTGCTGTTCACTCCCTCTGATGCATCAGGCTCCAGCCGCTTGTTGGAAGACAGGATACCGGGCCAGAAGGACCATTGGTCTGACTCAGCGTGGCCATTCTTATGTTCTCTGCTGGATGCTTTGTGGCTTGCTCTGTCTGAGGGCCAGCAAATGGCTAAGCGGGAAGCCCAGCTGACTGGCAGTAAGTATGCAGCCCGATTGGAAAAGCATTTTGGAGACCATGAGAGTAAGGGCAGAGAACGATAAACCTGGTTCGTCAATCAAACACTAGGCAGGTGTTTACCTCACCCAATCACGCTCCTAAATCAGACTGTTCCAGGGTGGTGCAGAGATCACGGGAATATTAAAGATCCTGTCAAACGGTGATCATAGAATATCAGGGTTGGAAGGGACCTCAGGAGGTCATCTAGTCTAACCCCCTGCTCAAAGCAAGACCAATCCCCAACTAAATCATCCCAGCCAGGGCTTTGTCAAGCCTGACTTGATCCAGCACCAAGCTTTACTTCTGCTCCTCATTGTGAGCTGGGATATTTGCACTCAGGGCCTAAATACCTTTCAGGATCTGGGCCTCAGATACTACAGTGATGAGACCACGGAGGTCCCTAGACAGTTACCTTGGGGACTTCTCCCTTAGCGCCTGGGGGGAGCCTCAGGATCCAGAAGTTCCTGTTCTTCAGCAGGTTCTCCATGTTCTCCAGCCTCCTCTGCAGCAGCCCATACTCCTGGATCAGAGTTCCCAGCACGGCCCACTTACTCTCCAGCTGGTTCCCAAACTCCGCCACCGTCTTCTCACAACCTATTAGTTTCTTCTCGGACATCCCCGTTCTCCCCTCCAGACTCAGTAACCGTGCGGCCTGAGAGTCCACCTTCCTCTCCGCGGCTTGGAGGGCAGCCAGGACAGCGAGGGACATCTCTGCCCTTTGCAGCTGCCCCTCTCTCCGGGGGGTCCCTCCGGCAGCGGGCAGGGGCCGCCCGGGGCAGGAGGCGGCCGGAGCCTGTTCAGGACAAGACACCAAGCTGAGGTTGGGGGGCACATGCCCAGCTAACAGCTCAGAGGCACGGAGAAATGGGGGGCCACCATTCCCCAGCTCTGACCCAGGAGAAAGGGGCTTCAAAAGGCAGCGCAGAGGAGCAAAGCCTGGGGCTCACACGCACCTGCTCTACCCGAAGGCGAGGGAGGGAAGCTCGGGCCGGAGGAGGATCCTGAGGCAGCAGGAGGAAAACAACCCACGGGGGCGATGCCAGCTGCCGCGGGGCTCACAACCCCACCGGGCCCGGGGCGGGGTCTCGCTTTCACCCCGGAGCGAGCCCGGAGCCGCCTGCACGGCCCCCAGGGGCTGCTACCAACGCCAGAGACCGCGCAGATCCCCGGGCCGCGCCCCCCGCGGGCCGCTCCCGGGGCCCGAGGCTCCCCCGCCCGCCGGGCCCTTACCTGGGCAGCGGCCCGCTCGGCCATGGCGCCCCCGGGCGGGGCTGCTCCCGCGGGCCCGGCCCGGCCGAGCCCCGCTCCCGCTGCGGGCTGGGCAGAGTCCCGGCGCCGCCTCGCCACGGCCGCAGCGGCCCCTGGCGGCGGGAATCGCCTCCCTTTCCCCGCCCTCACCGGGCGAGAGAACAGGCTCCGTCCCTGGGGGACCCGCCCATCCCCGTGTCCTCGGGCAGCTGGGGAAGCAATGGGGGGGGGGGGCGGCACCTGCCCCTATTCCACCGCGCGCCCGCCCGCCGCGAGCCCGGCCACGGGCCCCAGCTCAGGGGACCCCGAGCTCTCTCCCCAGGTGCCTTGGCCGGGGCGGGGGATTCCAGCCACTTGCAAATTGTCCCCCAGGAACCCAGCTCTGGGACCAGAACAAAACAGGGACTGGTGCTTGGGCTACTGGGCCTGCTGGAAAACCCACAGGGGGTGACCAGAAAAGGGGTGAAGATATTTTTAATGCTTTCAGTTGTTGGAAAGTTTGCTGGGTATCATATTGTCAGTGAGTTAGGGAGGGTCTTTAAAAGAATCTAAAGTAACTCTAGGCCTTTTGTCTCCCCTCCTCTGTGCCAACCCATTGTTAGATGCTGCAAGTCACCTGCATTTTCCTTCTGAGCCCTGACAGCTAAAGTCCGCATTCCCACTCCCGATGGGACCATTGGTCTGACCCCCGCTGGCTGTTCTTGTGTTATGGTCTTACGAGATTGGAGATGGGGTTTTGGGGTTTACTAATTGAATTGCTCAAGTAAATGGCAGGGCAGCCGTGTTAGTCTGTATCCGCAAAAAAAAAAAAAGGAGGACTTGTGGCACCCTAGAGACTAATTTATTTGAGCATGAGCTTTCGTGAGCTACAGATGAAGTGGGCTGTAGCTCACGAAAGCTTATGCTCCAATAAATGTTAGTCTCTAAGGTGCCACAAGTCCTCCTGTTCTTTTTTCAAGTAAATGAGGCACCCTCATATGCTTAAACTTTGCCTCACAAAATTTTTAAAAAACAGTATCCCAATTAGCACAGAAACTATGATTCAGAGGATGGATTAAACCTACCAGCAGCCAGGGAGGCACACAGCATCATGAGAAGCCTTAGGCCAGGGAGTGGTTTGGTGAGGAAAAGCAGACATGCTTTGAGGAAAATCTGTTAGGAAAATACAGGCCTTGAGTCTGCTCTCACTCAGAGTTATGTAACTCAAAGGTAACTCCACTCAAGTCAAAGGAGTAACACAGGCCTATCTGAGAAAAGAGTCCGGCCAAAGGAAGCTGAAATGGAGCAACCCCATGGGGCAGAGGCCTTGAGCAGTCTCTGTACAGTGTGAACTCCACCCATGTGATGTAGCCACACAAAATAAATACTTGCAGCACTGCCAACCCCACAGGTTCAAAAATCGTAAGTCAGCCCCCCCCAAAGATTATTTAAAAAATAACAACTGTCCCAAGACTCGAGACAAGACTGCAAGAGTTAACAGTGTCTTTTGGGTGGGAGTGAAGGTTCTGCTTCCTGATTAGTGTAAACGTATTAAAAATCAGTAAGGAGAAAACCACATCAATGGGGAGTGCAGAAGCACCTGAGCAGCTGGAAATAGAGCCCTGAAGCAGGACTGGATAGGCAAAAAAACCCAGGCTGCAGTAATTTGCACACAAACACTAAATCTCTCATCAATTTACCACAAGTAGCCTCTTTGAGAAATTGCTAATTATTTTCTTTGAGTTTATCTTTCCCACATGTGTTTAGCTCCTTCTCTCTGAATCTGGTGTAGTTCACCAGCTCAAGTCAGGTCAGAGAATCATGCTCCAGGGTCGTTCTGTTCTGTGACGTCACATATGCGCACTCAGTCTCTGGTGTATCAATTTGTTGTCAGGGCTGTGAGCAGTTTTTCCGTTAAATGTTTTTCGAAAAGCAGTAATAATCCTGACACATAAATAACTTGAATGGGATATAAATAACTGGGATGGTATGTTTCAAAGTTCTCAAATCGGTGCTTAAGCAGTTTAAACAATTCTAGTTTTTTTAATAACTTACTTTTTATAATCACTAAAAAAAAACCCTGCACCTTAAAAGGCAAAACGGTGGTGCAACATGTTTTAAGCAAGATTTGTTTTATTGTTTTAGAGGTAAAAATTGTGTCTGAATTCCTTTTATATATACAAATAATATATTAACTGACCGTGTTTTGGTTTGTTCCTTTTTTTAGTTCCATGGGGGAAACTCACGCTCTTGCAGGATCGAAGGTTTTTCAGGGCAGCAGCAGAATAAAAATGCAAGAAACAACGCAGGAGCAGGTGGAAGTAGCAGTGGGTATTGCAGGGCGGAATGGGAGCAGGATTCAAAAATTATCAGGCGGAGGGCTCTAGCTGATAGCAGAAAGCAACAGGAGCTTTCACCCTACTGCCTGCCTCTACACATTGCAATAGGGTCCATGTTAAAAGTGTGATTTGCTTATTGATGATACTTACAATATCCTGAACACTGTAGCAGGTAACTGCAAGCTCACTGCGATGTAACGGTACGTGTTCCTATTGCTGGGCTCACTCAAGAGGCTCTGTTAAACCTTGGTTAACAGTGAACAATGGAGTGGAAGATGGCAGCCTTCACGGGGGCCCACTCTGCTAAGTAAGCATTCACAATGAATGCCATCAACTCAGCGACCGAACATTGCTCAGCGATCTCCTGGTCATCAAAGCAGCAACTCAACAAATCCTAAAGTTCCTCCTCAGGGCCATACAACGTGCCAAATAGGCCCTGGAATAAGAATCCTGCAACTTAATGTTGAAGGAGTCTCATGGGCAAAATGCAAGTATCTTGGAAACTTGCTGAAGACTTATAACGTAGGTGTCCTCATGTTGCAAGAGACCCATGTTGGCAACGACCAACAGGCTAGGCGCTAACGTATCTATGGATACAACTTAACAACTAGCCATCATCATCCTAAATATAGCTTGGCAATATACATCAAGGACACCGTCACAGATTTTAATGTTATTCCACCAATCAAAGAGGACACCACCTTTACCACAACTATCAAAGTAGGGGAGCTCCACATTACCAACGTCTATAAAGCCCCAAGCACAAGATGGCCAAAATCAGCGCTACCCAGCTCTCCTATTCCATGCATCTATGCAGGTGATTTTAATGATCACCACACTATGGGGGGCTACAAAACAAACGAAACCGATTGCGAAGATCTCATGGACGGGATATCTGCACAAGACTTACAACTAATCTATGAACTAAAACAACGATCAAGATTCCTTTCAAGCCGCTGGCAATGTGGGTACAATCCAGACCTAACATTCGTGTCTAAAGACCAGTGTGGTAATACTCTGACCACAACATGTGAAGTATTATCCACATTTCCAAACAGCCAACATGGACGTATAATGATCTACGTAGGCAGCAAAATTCCCGTGTTCTTTCTGAAACAGGTACCACGATGGAATTTTGCTAACGCGGATTAGGATGTCTACAAACAGACCGTTGAGAAAACTGTTGCAAGGATTCCAGCGAGACCAGAATGCTATCAGCAGTTCACAGGCCTCTTGAAAGCAGCAGGAAAACACATTCCTTGGGGCTTCCAGAGAAAGCTCGCTACCTGCCGGACAAGAGAGACGCAGGAGATGCTCTGGCAGTATAATCAGACCAGGGCTCTCGTATTGCAAAAGCCCTGCTACGCTCCCTTGGCACAGCAAGACGCCGGCGCTGGCTTGACTGCGTGCAAACCCTTGATTTTACACATTCAAGTCACCAAGCCTGGACACCACTACGACGTCTTGGGGCCGCTAATCCCACATAGCGCAGGCCACTGAAAATCTGGCCAAACTCAATAGCTTCCAAACTGGTGGAGAACACAAAAGGACCACTTGATAAACACACAAGAAGAGAAGTGTATCAAGAACTCTACCCAAAACTTCCATCAATCCCCCAAGGATCTTCCACTGTCAGCACTGAGGAAGTAAAAGGACTTGCCACGATGAAAAAAGGGAAGACTGCAGGCCCTGACGGTATTCCGCCAGAATTTCTCCATCTTGGTCCCAAAGGACTCCAGTGGCTAGCAACATTGTACTCCACTACCTTAAGGACAGTACAGATCCCTGAAATATGGCATGAGGGAATGGTAATTGCTATTCCAAAGCCTGGAAAGCCCCCTGATGAAGCAGGAAACTATAGGCCAATTTCTCCACTATGTGTAACCTGTAAACTTCTTGAACGTATCAACCTCAAAAGAATATGCCCTTTTACTGAGCCAGTTATCCCTGTCAAGCAGGCAGACTTCCGGCCAAAATGCAGCTGTGACCAAGTTCTGGCACTCACAACTCACATTGAGTCTGGCTATCAAAAAAACCTCAAGACTGGCACAGGTTTCAGAGGATGAAGTGAGCTGTAGCTCACGAAAGCTCATGCTCAAATAAATTGGTTAGTCTCTAAGGTGCCACAAGTACTCCTTTTCTTTTTGCGAAGACTGGCACAGTATTTGATGACCTGTCATGTTGCGTATGATAGTGTATGGATTAAGGGCCTGATGCTGAAACTTGTTAAAATTATCCCTTGCTACCAAACACTTTGCCTGTTGTGGACCATGCTGAGTGACAGGGGCCTACTGGGGAATAAGACCAGCTCACCCTGCAGCATAAACAATGGGTTATGCTTGCGCCAGCCCTTTTTAATATTTACATCAATGACATGCCTCCAACTAAATCACGAAAATTTGGATATGCAGATGATCTTGCCAGGACAATCCCAGCATCAAACCTCCCCGACATTGAGAAAGCACTAACTGAGGACCTCAACAATATGGAACAATATTTCTGGAAATGGAGACTCAAGCCAAACCCTGGAAAAACAATAGTAAGCGCATTTCATCTTGATAAGCAGAGTGCCAAAAACACACTGAAAGTTGTTTTCTGTGGTAAAAATGTGCAACACGATGACACACCAACATATCTGGGAGTGAAACTTGACCGCACCCTGTCCTTCCATGATCATCTTGAGAAGGTAGCTGGAAAGATCAAAACGAGAGCCAACGGAATCCAGAAACTAGCAGGTACAACCTGGGGTCCATCAGCATCACTGTTGTGAACCTCTGCAATAGCACTTGTATATTCAGTAGCTGAATATTGTGCGTCAGTATGGAGCATGCAGCCACACACGACTTGTGGATACCCATCTAAATACAGTGGTGCGGTGCATCACAGGAACCCTTAAGGCAGCTCCAACCCCATGGCTAGCTGTCCCATCTAACATCGCTTTCCCGCCAATACGCTGAACGGCTGCAACATTCCATGAAGCTCAGCAAATCCAGGAAAACAGATGCCTTCCTATTCCTCAAGACCTTGACAATGCCCCTCTGACAAAGCAGGACTGTTCTTAATGTTTCCTCTGAATATTGTGGGGGTGCCTCAGTTTCCCCTAACCAGTTCTTAAGTATCTAGGTGGTGGGATAAGGGTGTATGATCGTTGCAGAGCCCTAGAGGGCAGGTGTGTGCAGGCATCTGGACACAGAGAATGGCTGACACCCTGTTTCCTGGCAACTGATGGCCTGGGCCCTTTCCCCCTGCAAGGTGAGAGCTAAAGGGTTGGAGAACAAAGGAATCAGGTGACCTCCTGGCCCAGGAAAGGGACAAAGCCCAGAGGAGGAGGGGCGGTAGAGGGTTTCAGTTTAGGGCTGGCTAGGGACTGGAGTGAAGCACAGACGTGGTTGTCTGGCTCACTGCCCCCCAAAATGGACCCAGCTGAGGGGTCCTGTTCTCTGCACCTACAAGCTCTGTTTTAGACCATGTTCCTGTCGTCTAATAAACCTTCTGTTTTACTGGCTGGCTGAGAGTCACGTCTGACTGCACAGTGGGGGTGCAGGACCCTCTGGCTTCCCCAGGAGCCCCGCCTGGGCGGACTTGCTGTGGGAAGCGCACGGAAGGGCAGAGGATGCTGAATGCTCCGAGGTCAGACCCAGGAAGGTGGAAGCTGTGTGAGCATTGTGTCCTGAAGACAGGCTGCTCACAGAAAGGAGACTTCCCCAGAGTCCTGACTGGCTTCGTAGGGAGCAGTTCCAGAGCATCGCCCAGGGACTCCATGACAGCCCCCCCCCACAACTTCTTAAGTCCCGCAAGTCTCTCTGGGAACATTTGTTTAGCCTCATGCAATCAGGTTATGATCAGAAGGAAGCTTGGAAAGCAGATTGGGCTAAACAAGACTTTAAAAATAAGCACCTTGTGCCAGATCCCATGCAGAAGGTTCCTGGGTTTGACCCTCCACAGTCATCTTGATCAACTCTAAACCAAATTTGAACCAACCATGGTAGATGCAGAGATCTAATGCACAAATGGAAAATCAAGGACTCCCTGGTGTGCGAGTGTGGTTCCCCACGACAGCCCATCGAACATATCACTACCTACTGCCCAATGTATAAAGATGAAGGAGGCATCACTGCAATAAATTCTGCTACTCCTGATGTAGCCATTTGGATCCATCAACTTCAGGTGTAATTGTAGTTGCTGCTCTACACCAGTCGTACAAAAGAAGAACAGCGGACAATGCAAATTATAGTACGTACATCAAGATAATAGCTTCAGGGAGAAACCCTGAAATGGCTGAGGAAATGTTGGTGGGAACAACCGCCTTCTCACTCGAAAAGGAGGAGGTGACAGTGTTACCTTTAGGTTTTAAAAGTCATGATCAGATCTGTACATGTTACATGATAAAAAAAATAACACAAACACCCCCCCATACACACATGCTCCCCACCTGCCCAAGTGAAAAGCTCCAGGGTGGTGATCTGCCCAGATAATTCCTGTGTCAGGAGTCTGGGAGAACATCTCTTTGGATTTACCTACTAACATAGGGGCAGGAAGTAGGACTGCTGTGCACCCCCTGGCTTGAAAGGGTGTCCATCATATAAAGAGTTCACAGTTTGGTTCAATGGATCTCATTATACCCCACTATACAAATCATTCCAGCCCCCGTCCCTACTAATCTCCCATGTGTTCCCCATTTATTCAGGGTTTTTTTTTTTTGTTTTTTTTTTACTCCTGAGTCCCTCTTCTGCTGGAGTCACAGAACTCAGATGTCCTCCAGGTGAGTGAAGGCCAAAGCAAGGGTCACGTTAGGAACAAGAACAAACTAGACCTCCTAAGCTATTGCTGGACGTGGACCATGGAGCTGACCTTGAGATGTCTGCTTATGTCCTAAGCAATTGCGATTCAGTCTTGTCCAGTGATGCCCAGCAGCAGGCCTTCCATACAGAGTGCCCATCCCCCTCCTACTCCCAGTCATTCATGTCCCTCCGACTTCTTCCTCTCCCGGTGCTGTCCGCCTGCCGCCATGTGGGGATGTTTCACAGGCAGAAGTTGGTTCCCCTGCGTGTCCCCATGGTGCCATTGCTGCATTTTCAGTTGAGAGAGAAGAATCCTCCTCAGCTAGTGTCCCTGGTTCCCCTTTCAGGTGGTGACGGAAGGAAGCCCACTGGCTGGGTTTCCACCTCTCCTCCAGGGGCTCAGACACACACTCTGATCTGATGGGCTGAAGCTCTCTCTAAACCATGGACGTTTCAACTCCTCCTCTTGCCTTTCGTCTGACTAACGCACCTGCTGTACGTTAACTCCACTGGCTACCACGAATCTTCCATCTTTACAACCAGGAGTCCAGCCTCTGCTCCCTGTCCGGGGCTCTGAGAAACCTCCGGATGCCCTTGCTCTGCGCTGTGGAGGCTCTGATGTTCTTTCAGAGAGTCCTCGTATCGGAAGCTTTTCCCACCCGTGCCACACTGATGTGGCTGCTCCCCGACATGGCCCTGCTGGTGTGTCTCTAGCTCAGGCTTCCCCGTGAAGCTTTTCCCGCCCTCAGTGCGGCGCTTCAGCCCTTCGCCCGACGTGTTACCCTGATGGCCGACAGACCCGCCATGGCTTTTAGCAGCTGGGCCGCCCTGGTGCGGTCTCTCTCCCATGTGGTTTCTTTGGTGCTTCATGAAGCTCCTCTTGAGCGTGAAGCTCTTGCTGCACTCAGCGCACGGGAAGGGCCGCTCGCCGGTGTGGACGCGCTGGTGGTTGAGCAGGTACTCCTTGCGGCTGTAGCTCTTGTCACACTTGGTGCATTTGTAGGGCCGCTCCCCCGTGTGGACGCGCTGGTGGTTGTTGAGCTTGGACTTCTCGCTGAAGCTGTCCTCGCACTGGCTGCACTTGTACGGGCGCTCGCCGGTGTGGACGCGGTAGTGGTTGGTCAGCTTGGACTGCTGAGTGAAGCTCTTCTCGCACTGGCTGCACTTGTACGGGCGCTCGCCCGTGTGCAGGCGTTGGTGGGAGATGAGCACGGCCTTCTGCCGGAAGCTTTTCTCGCACACCGCGCACTGGAAGGGCCGCTCCCCCGTGTGCACGCGCTGGTGGTTGAGCAGATACACCTTGCGGCTGTAGCTCTTCTCGCACTCGCTGCACTTGTAGGGCTTCTCCCCGCGGTGAATCATCTGGTGGCGCAGCAGCTCTGACTGGCAGTTGAAGCTCTTCTCGCACTCGGTGCACTGGTAGGGCCGCACCTTGGCATGGCTCCGCAGGTGCTTGACCAAATTCCCCTTCAGCCGGAAGCTCTTCCCGCATTCACCGCAGGCAAAGGGCTTCTCCCCCGGCTGCACCACAAAGCCCTTGAGCAGGCCGAAGTCTCGGTCGCACTGGGTGGATTTCTCCACTCTGCTGACTGCAGGGTTAGCCAGCTGTGCAGCCACTCCCTGCTGTAGGCTCTGCAAACCCTCCTCTTCTGATTTCACTGATGACATCCCCTGCGGCTCCAGCTTCTCCAGACATCCCTTCCAGGACTTCTCCTTCTCTTTGCTCGCTGTCCCATCATTTGCTAAAGAAGAGAGAGAGAGAGACAGACAGACGAGCATTAGTGCTTTGATCTGGAAGGAAACTCCCCTGGCTTAGAGATTCTGTGCAGAAAAAAAAATGACACTTGTTAATGGTCCAATGAATAATTTATAGCTTCAGTGTAATTAACTCAACAGACTTAAAGTAGGGCTCATCTTGGCTTGAAATCTTGTCTGCTAGACAGCACAATTTGGGTTGGATGTCATGACACTTCTAGCCTACAGACCTCCTGCATCATGGCATGACTGATGTTATGAGCCTGAAACCACCCCTCCTAGCTGGGTGTCGAGGGGTAAACATTCCCCCAGAGAAGGCATGGGGGCAGGCTAGAGGAGGGACCCTGTTCCTCTGCATCCCATCAAACACTCAAAAAGGTGAAAGATGGGATCGACTGCCCCCCACTACTCCAGACAGGCGCGGAGCTGTGACCGATACCCGCCATCAAGTGATGACTGTACATTTACAGTGGGGCTATTTGACTGTCAGCTCTTTGGGGCAGAGATTGTCTTTTTGTTCTGTGTTCATAGACCACCTAGCACAACGGAGCCCTGACTTGGGACTGCAATGCAAATAACAATAAACGATCACTTAAATAGGAAGAAAACCCAGAAGTGGAGGAGATCCTATGACCTGCAGGTAGCTACTCCACTCACTTCCTTTGAGGTGTTTCAATCCCTTAGGGCCCCACTCTTCCTCAGAGCCAATGGAAGTTTTGCACAAGAGCAGCCAGTCATTGCTCACCTATGCTGGAGCCTGAGAGAATTCTTCCTTCCCCCAATTCCTGATGGTCCCCAGCACCCAGCTCTTCCTCTTGTTTGATCCAGGTTGAAGTGTCAGATGTGGAAACTGGTGATTATGTTAATGAGAAACAAACAAATTAGTGTGTGTTTTACCAGCACTTATTGACCTCTTTCTGCAAAGGATTTGGGGCTAGAGCTGTCTGGGATGGGTGGGAGGTTGGGTAACATTTTGTGGAGAGAAGGGAAAACAGATGAGAAAACACATCCAGACAGATGCAGTTATACATGCTGATGGGCCAGGTGCTGTTCATGCCTCTCACCAAGTCCGGGTTCCAACCCACTCCTCACCTGTGCTGGGCTCCACGGGAATTTCTCTGTCCGCCGAACCCCTCTGGCCTCTGATACACGGCTCCTCCCCTCCTTCAGCCCGGGGCAGGATGTCAGGGTTGGAAATGGCATGGCCTATTCATGAAGACAGAGTTGAGGGGAAATGAGTGGTTTATTCATATTCACCAGGCACTTACATGTGATTTTAAACCTGAGCTGAACAGAGGTAGAACAGGTGATCCTCAGGAAAGCAGATCTCTGCTTTTCCCAGGGGAGCCTGAGGAATTCCCACACTCCTGTAATATTGTTCCCTGCAGGGTCACACAGCTGCCCACTTTTCATCCTCTTGTCTTGGGGGGGGTTCACTTCTGCTGGGGCAGAGGTCAGGGCGAAAAGGGGGCATGGCAGGGGCTGAGACAGGGCGTGGCTGGCATGTGGGTTTCAAGTGCAAATCCAGTTCATGAACATGAGATGCCTGGCAGATACTTGGGAGGGCTCCAAGAGACTCCTACAGCCAGCCAGGAGTAGCAGTTCACCTGTGTACGCTCTGGAGCTGCACTTCCAACAGAAAGTTCAGTGCCTCATATGCAGACTACAGGACACTTCGTGGCCCACTGGCCTGCAGCCCCCTTCTCTCATCTTCCTTCAGCTTGTTGGATGATGAGTAACAAAGCGCTGGGCCCTGCCAACAACTCTCTCAGCCCTCACCCAAACCCTGCATTTTTTTAGTCCTTACAGAGAACGTGTGAGTTTGTGATACTTGGTAGAACTCACCGGCACTGGGGTCCACAGGGATTTCTCTTTCCACCAACCCTTCCTTCTTCTGGATTCTTTCCTGTAATCCTTCCAGGGATTCCCACCGATCCCTGACACATGGCTCCTCCCCTCGTTCAATGCGGGACAGAATGTCTGGCTTAGAAACAGCGTAGTCTGTTCATGGTAGCAGATGTTAAGGGAACGTCATGGCCTATTAATATTCATTGCAAATAATGCTAAATGATTTTAAACCAGCTCCCCTTCTCTCGCTGGAGCTGACGACAGATCTGAAAGGAGGCCAATACCTAATAAGGATCCTGTAAAAAGATACCATTTCTTGTGGAGGTCGGGTGTGCTTCCCAGCAGAAGAGCCGGGGTTCACCACATAGAAGGGGAGTTGATACGCACAATGGTATATCAACCCATTTGTTGGTGAACCTAAACCTGAACAAAGTCTACAGAGTCCCTTCAAGGCCAGAGCCAGTTCAGGGAGGAATGCTTAATGCTGTATTACCAGGTGACACAAAAGAAGAGGTTACTTAGCTTACTGTAACTTGAGTTATTTGAGGTGCTTGTCCCTATGGTGTGGTTGCCATAAGATACATGCACGCCTGTGTGCTCTCAACCAGAGACAGCAAAGCAGTGTCTGCAGGCCTGCGCAGAGCAGCCCCTCATGCCTCCAAACAAGACTCGCTGCCACTCAGTTCCTTCTCTACAGCCGAGGGGAAGGAAGGTGGAGCATCCATAGGGACAAAGCATCTCAAAGAACTCAAGGTCTTATAAGGTAAGTAACCTCTCCTCCGCCTTTGAGTATATATGTCCCGATGGGTGCTCCACCAGAGGAGACTCCCAAGCAGTAACTTGACAGGGAGGCAAGTCCAAGATTGTTTGGAGGATTGCTTCACCAAAGGTCATATCATCCCTAGAAGTAGGTAAGATGGCATAATGCTTGACAAGGGTGTGACCAGAAGACCAAGTTGCAGTCCTGTACATTTCTGTTATGGGCAACATCTTTCAGCAGAGCTATAGCTGTGGACTGAGCTCTGGAGGAGTGTGCTGTTCTAACAGGTTGAAATGCAACCTGAAACTCCTTAGACAGTCTGAGAATGGAAATAGGTTGTCCATTCCTCCTCTCTGCAGATGACACAAATAATCTTGGAGGAGCCCAGAAGGTCTTAATCCTGTCAGGGTAGAGGGTGAGATTCCTTCTGAAACCTAGTATAAGTAGACTGGTCTCCCCTCCGGAGGCTTTGGGTAAAACACTGATAGGCAGCTCTCTTCATTAATGTGGTATTCTGAAGAGACCTTAGGAAGGAAGCGAGGATGGGGATGCAGTGTAACCTCATCTCTATAGAGGATAGTAAATGGCGGGTCTGCCATAACAACACCAAGCTCTACCATTCTTTAAGAGATGGCTCTAAAGAACTAAGTCTTGAGGGAGAAGTGCAGGAGAGAACAGGTAACCATAGGTACAAAGTGGGGGCCCTCAGGGCACTGAGAACCAAATTAAGGTCCCACTTGGGAACTGGAGTCTCTACAGGGGGAAACAAGTTGTGTAGCCCCTTGAGGAATCTGGCATAAGTGATGTGGGCAAAAACCAAGAAGCCCTCCGTGGGTGACTGGAAGACTGTGACAGCAGCCAAAAGTATTTTGAGTAAGACAAATTTATAGTGCGGACCTGACATCAGTATAACTATGCTGCTCCGGAGTGTGGATTTTTCACACCCCTGAGCAACAGTTATACCAACCTAACCGCCAGTGTGCGCTAAATTGATAGGAGGGCTTCTCCCGTCGATGTAGCTACCACCTCTCACAGAAGTGGATTAACCACACCGACGGGAGAAGCTCTCCCATTGGCACAGTTGTGTCTTTAATCAAGTGGTGCAACTGCAGAGCTGCAGCATTTTAAGTGTAGACCATGCCCTGGATTCACTGCTAGACCCTGTGTCTTCAAATCCAACAGGCAGCCCAGGATTCTGGAGAGTGGAACCTCTGATGCTTGAGAAGAGTGCAGAGAACAGCAGGAGTGGAAGCTTTTCCACTTCTGAAGGTAAGTTTCAAAGTACTAGTTTTACTGCTAGATAGGAGAACTGACTCGACCTTATCCGAACGGGTTACTTCCCTGCTCAAAACTCACCTAGAGCGATGTGTACTGGCAGTACGGGGGTCTCTTTCTTGCTGGTACTCTATAAAATTGTTCACCAAGGTGACCCCAAGGATTCCAGGAAGCCCAACTAGGGGGCTGACTGGGGAAAGTCCCCACAGATACTTGTAACGCCTGGATATGGAGCATCTGATGGGGTACTGAGCACTCCCCAAAATAGTGGCTTAGCAGGGTGTGGTGGTATAATGCTGAAAAAGAGCCCTGTACTGAGACCTCTGAGTCCAAAGTATAATCATCCCCTGGGCAGAATGCGGGAGAACCAGATACAGCTGCCAAATGCAGAGGCTGGACATCTGACCGACGTTCAATCCAGGAGGATTGTGGTTGCAGATGTCTGAGCGGTACCAGGGAAGGAGCTTTCGTAGAGGTCAGTAACAGGGGACATGCCAGTTCCTCTGGTATGAAAAGGCCCTCTGGAGAGAGAAACCTGGAGGGTACTGAAGGGCTACGGTATGCGCAAGTCTGAGTTTGTACCAGAGCCTGGACAAGGGCGCCGTGCTGAGATGGTGAGCACGGTAGCAGAGAGGCTTGTAGAGAAACTTCTCTGACCTCCGAGCTCTGGTGCAGGGAAGGTGACGGTACTGGAGTGTCAGTAGGAGGCCTGGTCACATCTCAGGGCCAAGAGGAGTCACTCAGTACCAAGGTAGATGACTCCCTGTGTTATTAGAAGACTTCTCTGGATGCTGCTTCTTGTGAGGGGCCAGCGGCTCGGTTCTGGAATCAGACGGCACCTCAGCTGTGCCCTTAGAGGAACACAAGGCCTCCTTAGAGTGGAATTTAGGGGGTGACCCACCCCTCTTTCTTGTTTCCCAGATAAGGGCAAGAGGCGGCTGCTTCTCAGAAGTCCTCGCCTCTCAAAGTGTTGCTGGAGCAGCCTGGGACGTGGAGGCCAATGTACAGAGGAGGACGCGGGCCCCACCAGCGCTAGTGAGCATTCCATTAGAAGGTACTTCAGTCTAGCCTCTTTGTCTTTCCGAGACCTGCCTCTAAACCCTGAACTGATCTTGCACTTGGACAGAATGTGGGTGTCTCCAAAGCAGTTTGAATGCCTGTCACTACAGGGAAAAGACCTGTGGCAAGTTTGGCAGGACTTAAACCCTGGGATCTTTGGCATAACGCAGAGTGCTAATGGACCAAATTGGACGATAGAAAGAAAAAAGAGCGGGGGGGGGGGATCCCTCCTCTCAACACAGCTGTGTTAAAACTGAACACAGAAATAAAATAATCACACAAATAAAGCAAAAACTAAGAATAAATCACTATGTTAAGAAAGGTGGGAAGCTGAGAACCAGCGGACATGCAACCACTCCATCTCGAGCCGCAGGCAGTTGAGAAGGCACTGAGTGGCAGCAGGTCTGCGCCCCCCTATATGCCCTCAGTGGGAGGCGCCACTCTGGCAGGCATAGGCCTGCAGACACTGCTTTGTCGTCTCCGGTCAAGGGTGCATGGCATGTATGCATCCTACGGTGCAGCACCCTATGGACATACACTCAAAGGACTAGCTGATACAGTGGTAGGACTGAGATTTTAGATCAGCAGAAGACTGATTTTACCACAGGATGGGGTGATCTGGCTCTTTAAGGAAACGAAGGATGCTTTTGTATTTCAGGCACTGGCCTGCTACTCAGAACATCTGGGTTCAATTCCTGGCTCTGCCACAGACTCCCTGGGTGATCTGGCAAGTCACTTAAACTTGCCGGACTTGATCCCAAACCCTTGGAAGTCAATGGGAGACATTCCATATCCTTCAAAGGGTTTGGGAAAACTAGATATTAGAAGAAAAGAGTTTTAAATAGGAGGGTGTGTGGTATGAGCTGTCTATTGCTAATGCTCTGGGAAGTAGTGATCCACTAGAAATCAAAGGAACTGGAGAATAACCTGCAACAGGAATCAGAGTAGCAACTGTTTCTAATCAGAGAGTGAAAACCGATCCTTACCCAGAGAGATCAGGGTCTCATAGTTCCCCTTCATCACGTTTTTGTAAAGCTCCTTCTGCCATTCGTCTAAGTTCTCCCACTCCTGCTCATTGAAATAGACGGAGACATCATCAAATGTCACCGGCACCTGGAATCACAAGGGTTACAATAAGCTTCTTTCTTAGACTATAGCGGCTTGACTCGAAGCCCACCAAAGTAAATGCCATTGACTTCCATAGCCTTTGGAGAAGATCCTTATGGCAGGGAATGTATCTTATGCTGTGCTCTTAGTTGAACCAAGTCTGGACCAACAATTTTAGCAGAAACTTTGAAGAGTCAGGCCCAAAATCAGCAAAAAGATGTGTGTCTCCTGAAAGGTGCAGAGCACCCTCGCCTCCCACTGACTAAATGCAGTATTTGCAGCAGGTGGTCTGTTGAAAGCATATGGTGGGCTGGGCACATGGGGCTGGCTGTCATCTAGATTTCCAACCACTGTTTCCAAACTGCATCAGACGTGATGCATAAGTACACTCCTAATATTACTTTTCCACATCAGCACTTGCTGGAGGTGAAAGGCAAATCAGTGACTGCGCTGGAAACAGAGCCCAGATGTCCTGTACATTATGCATAAATGACTGGACCGACTGGGTCTGGCAAGTGAGTTTTTGGACACCATGAAGCTAGTAAGATCACTCCCTGCATCCACACTCTTATAAAGTGGTGAATTAAAGGGCCTGCACATCAGAAGATACGAAAACCCATCCAGTATCTAAGTTTGTACCCCTCAACACTAGCTGGGATATTGTTACCTTGGGGACTTCTCCCTTAGTGCCTGGGGGCAGTCTTAAGATCCAGAAGTTCCTGTTTCTCAGCAGGTTCTCCATGTTCTCCAGCCTTCTCTGCAGGAAATTATTCTCCTGGACCAGAGTTCCCAAAATAGTCCATTTACTCTCCAGCTGGTTAGCAAATTCCATTGCTGTCTTCTCACAGTCTGTTAACTTCTTCTCAGTTGTCCGTGTTCTCTCCTCCAGATTCAGTAATCGTGTGGCATGGGAATTCACCTTCCTCTCCACAGCTTGGATGGCAGCCACTACTGTCCACAAGGAGATCTCTGTAATGTGGTGATGGGCTTCATTCACAGGAGTTTGTTCAGGGACAGTGGGATCCTGTTTCCAAGAAGAGAAACTGAAAGTCAGCATCAGGGAAAAAACAGCCTAAGAGCCCTTCAGCACTACCTGGGGCTGGATCTTCTTGTACAGTCAGGATCCACACAGGGGAAAACTATTTCCTTTCCTGTACCGAAGGAGATTTGAAATGGAAACCCCACAATGTCTGACTCATAGGAAGTATGGAATATTCATAGGCTATAGGGCTAAAAGGGACCATTCGATCATCTATCCCAGTGGTTCTCAAACTTTTGTACTGGTGAGCCCTTTCACATAGCAAGCCTCTGAGTGCCACCCGCCCCTTATAAATTAAAAACTTTTTTTTATATATTTAACACCATTATAAATGCTGGAGGAAAGCGGGGTTTAGGGTGGAGGCTGACAGCTCGTGACCCCCCCATGTAATAACCTTGCGGCCCCCAGTTTAAGAACCCCTGAATTCTAGCCTGACCTGCACACCGCAGGCCCTTGAGTTTTACCCAGTTGCTAGGCCTGTACTCAGGCCAGTAACTAGTGCGTCCCTACAGCCCGGAGCTGGTGTCTTGACGCTCTCCACAAGCCCGCGCTCTGCGCACCCCGGCGGGGACCTACAGCCCCCCAGGGCGCCCACGGCCGGGGGCTCGGCGGAGCTTGGACACAACAGCAGGAAGCCCGAGCACGACGGCCGGTTTCTCTGGGGCAAGGGAGGCTCCCGCACAGACCGACAACCTCCCCCGCCGGGCCGGGCCGGGCGTGCGCCCAAGGGAGCCCCCGGGAACCGGGCAGCTTCCCGCAGCGCCCGGGGCGGAGCTGAACCCCCCGGGGGTACCTGGGGAGCAGCGCCGGGCCCCGCCCCTGCCGCCAGGGACCCCCCAGCCCGGCCGGGCAGCACCGCGCTCCCGGGGCCCGGGCCGGGCGGGGAGAAGCTCCCGGGGCTCGAGGCCCCCCCGCCCGCCGGGCTCTTACCTGGGCAGCGGCCCGCTCGGCCATGGCCCCCCCGGGCGGGGCTGTTCCCGCGGGCCCGGCCCGGCCGAGCCCCGCTCCCGCTGCGGGCTGGGCAGAGTCCCGGCGCCGCCTCGCCACGGGCCGGCCCCGCTGCCGGGCGGAGCAGAGCGAGCGCGGCCCGGAGGGAGGGAGGGAGCCGCGGCCTGGCTGCCGGGGCCGGGAGCGGCGGGGCGGGGCCGGGCCGGTCGGGGAGCGCGGCGGCAGCGGCCCCTGGCGGCGGGAATCGCCTCCCTTTCCCCGCCCTCACCGGGCGAGAGAACAGGCTCCGTCCCTGGGGGACCCGCCCATCCCCGTGTCCTCGGGCAGCTGGGGAAGCAATGAGGGGGGGGGCCGGCGCCTGCCCCTATTCCACCGCGCGCCCGCCCGCCGCGAGCCCGGCCACGGGCCCCAGCTCAGGGGACCCCGAGCTCTCTCCCCAGGTGCCTTGGCCGGGGCGGGGGATTCCAGCCACTTGCAAATTGTCCCCCAGGAACCCAGCTCTGGGACCAGAACAAAACAGGGACTGGTGCTTGGGCTACTGGGCCTGCTGGAAAACCCACAGGGGGTGACCAGAAAAGGGGTGAAGATATTTTTAATGCTTTCAGTTGTTGGAAAGTTTGCTGGGTATCATATTGTCAGTGAGTTAGGGAGGGTCTTTAAAAGAATCTAAAGTAACTCTAGGCCTTTTGTCTCCCCTCCTCTGTGCCAACCCATTGTTGGATGCTGCAAGTCACCTGCATTTTCCTTCTGAGCCCTGACAGGTAAAGTCCGCATTCCCACTCCCCTGATTGTAATGGGCTCAGTTCCATCTTTAGCACCCACACTGATAGGAGATAATAGACACCAGGTTTAAAACAAAGGAAGTACTTCTTCCCACACCACGCAGTATACCTCTGGAACTCTGCCAGTGGACTGTGTGAAGGCCAAAATTATAACTTGGTTAAAAAAAATAGGTAAGTTCATGGAGAATAGGTTAATCAATGGCTAATAGCCAGGGGATGCAACCCTATCCACCGGATGTCTCTCAACCTCCAACTGCCTGAAGCATCTGGCACTGGCCCCTGTCAGAAGACAGGATACTGGGCTAGACAGACCATTGGTCTGACCCAGTATGGCCATTTTTATGTTATGCTCTAAAGAGATTGGCAATGAGTATTTCTTTGTTTACTAATTGTATTGCTCAAGTAAATAAAGGACCCTCATATTCTTTAACTTTGCCTTTAGTTCTTATCACAAAATCAGTTTTTAAAACACAGTATCCAAAATAGAGCAGATGTGTATAAGTAATGATGATACAGAGGATTTATTAAATTAAGCAGCCGGAGAGGCACCGAGTGTCATCAAAAGAAAGGCTTTACCGGGAAAGGGGTATTGTGAGGAACAGACATGCTTGCTTTGAGGAAAATCTGTTAGGAAAACACAGGCCCTGAGTCTGCTCTCACTCCTAGTTGTGTAAATCAACAGCAACTCCACTGAAGTCAAAGGAGTAACACTGCCCTACATGAGATAAGAGTCAGGCTAAAAGAAGCTGAAATGGGGTAATCACTAGGGGACAGAGGCCTTGATGAGCAGTCTCTGTACAGGGGGGACTCCACCCATGTGATGTAGCCACACAAAAGAGATACTTGCAGTATTGCCCATGCCACACATTCAAAAATCGTGAGTCAGGCCCCTCAAAATCATGACTTAAAAACGAATAGATGTTGGGTTCTTCTTTCTTGCCTTCTGAGATTTTAGGTTACACTTGGTCACATTTTCAAGTTTTTATCCACAACAAGGAACAGAAATGTGGGGTTTTTTTTAAACAAAAGCTTAGAGCCTCCTGTAATCAGTTGCCTCTAGGAGATGGGGCTTGACAGACACCCAATATCCCAAGACTCAAGACAAGACTGCAAGAGTTAACAGTGTCTTTTGGGAGGGAGTGAAGGTTCTGCTTCCTGATTAGTGTAAACATATTAAAAATCAGTAAGGAGAAAACCAGTGCAATGGGGACTGAAGAAGCACATGAGCAGCTGGAAGGAGAAAGCAACAGCATCCTTCAGCCCACGGCCTGTCTCTACACATTGCAACAGGGTGCACGTTAAAAGTATGATTTGCTTATTAATGATACTTACAATATCCTGAACACTGTAGCAGGTAACTGCAAGCTTGTAGTGATGTAGCAGTACGTGTTCCTATTCATGGGCTCATTCAAGAGGCCTGGTAAGCCTTGGTTAACAGCGAACCATGCTAATTACAGTACGTACATCAAAATAAAAGATTATGGGAGAAACCCTGAAATGACCGAGGTGTTGTTGTGGGGGAGGTAGGAACAACCGCCTTCTCACTCTGAAGGATGAGGTGACCGTGATCAGATTTGTACATGTTACGTGATAAGAAATAGCTCAACTACCCCCCCCCCCCACACACACACACACACACCCCACTTGCCCAAGTGAAAAGTTCCATTGTGGTGACATGCCCAGATAGTTCCTGGGTCAGGACTCGGGGAGAACATCTCTTTGGATTTACCTGCAGTACGAACTTCCCATGTGTTCACGATTTTTTCAGGGTATTTCTCATTATCTCCCCACTTTAATTTTACTCTCGAGTCCTTCCTCTGCTGGAGTCACTAGAGAATTCACATGACCTCAAGGTGAGTGAAGGCTAAAGCGAGGGACACGTTAGGAACAAGAACAGACTAGATCTCCTAAGCTATTGCTGGCCGTGGGCCATGGGGCTGAACTTGAGATGTCTGCTTACGTCCTAAGCAATTGCGATTCAGTCTTGTCCAGTGATGCCCAGCAGCAGGCCTTCCATACAGAGTGCCCATCTCCCTCCTACTCCCAGTCATTCATGTCCCTCCGACTTCTTCCTCTCCCGGTGCCTTCCGCCTGCCGCCACGTGGGGATGTTTCACAAGCAGAAGTTGGTTCCCCTGCGTGTCCCCATGGTGCCATTGCTGCATTTTCAGTTGAGAGAAAAGAATCCTCCTCAGCTAATGTCCCTGGTTCCCCTTTCAGGTGGTGACGGAAGGAAGCCCACTGGCTGGGTTTCCACCTCTCCTCCAGGGGCTCAGACACACGCTGATCTGATGGGATGTTTCAACTCCTCCTCTTGCCTTTCATCTGACTAACGCACCTGCTGTACGTTAACTCCACTGGCTACCACGTATCTTCCATCTTTACAACCAGGAGTCCAGCCTCTGCTCCCTGTCCAGGGCTCCGAGAAATCTCCGGATGCCCTTGCTCTGCACTGTGGAGGCTCTGATGTTCTTTCAGAGATTCCTCATATCGGAAGCTTTTCCCACACGTGCCACACTGATGTGGCCATTCCCCAGCATGGACCTGCTGGTGTGTCTCAGGCTTCCCCGTGAAGCTTTCCCCACACTCAGTGCGGCACTTCAGCCCTTCTCCTGGGTCATTACCCTCATGGCCGACAGACCTGCCATGGCTTTTAGCAGCTGGGCCGCCCTGGTGCGGTCTCTCTTCCATGTGGTTTCTTTGGTGCTTCATGAAGCTCGTCTTGAGCATGAAGCTCTTGCTGCACTCAGCGCACTGGAAGGGCCGCTCGCCGGTGTGCAGGCGCTGGTGGTTGAGCAGGTACACCTTGCGGCTGTAACTCTTGTCACACTTGGTGCATTTGTAGGGCCACTCTCCCGTGTGGATGCGGTAGTGGTTGTTGAGCTTGGACTTCTCGCTGAAGCTGTTGTCGCACTGGGTGCACTTGTACGGGCGCTCGCCCGTGTGCAGGCGTTGGTGGGAGATGAGCACGGCCTTCTGCCGGAAGCTTTTCTCGCACACCGCGCACTGGAAGGGCCGCTCCCCCGTGTGCACGCGCTGGTGGTTGAGCAGATACACCTTGCGGCTGTAGCTCTTCTCGCACTCGCTGCACTTGTAGGGCTTCTCCCCGCGGTGAATCATCTGGTGGCGCAGCAGGTCTGACTGGCAGTTGAAGCTCTTCTCGCACTCGGTGCACTGGTAGGGCCGCACCTTGGCATGGCTCCGCAGGTGCTTGACCAAATTCCCCTTCAGCCGGAAGCTCTTCCCGCATTCACCGCAGGCAAAGGGCTTCTCCCCCGGCTGCACCACAAAGCCCTTGAGCAGGCCGAAGTCTCGGCCACACTGGGTTGATTGCTCCACTCTGATGACTGCAGGGTTACCCAGCTGTGCAGCCACTCCCTGCTGTAGGCTCTGCAAACCCTCCTCTTCTGATTTCACCAAGAAAATCCTGTGTGGTTCTAACTTTTTCAGACATCCCTCCTGGGGCTTCTCCTCCTCTTTGCTCGCTGTCCCATCATTTGCTAGATTAGAGAGAGAGAGAGAGGCATTAGTGCTTTGATCTGGAAAGAAAGCTCCCCTGGCTAAGAGATTCTGTGCAGAAAAAACTGACAGTTTTCAATGGCCCAATGAGTAATTTATTGCTTCAGCATATGAACTCAACAGACCTAAAGTAGGGCTCGTCTTGGCTTGAAATCTTGTGCGCTAAACAGCACAATTTGGGTTGGATGTCATGACACTTCTAGCCTACACACCTCCTGCATCACGGCATGACTGATGTTATGAGCCTGAAACCACCCCTCCAAGCTGGGTGTTGAGGGGTAAACATTCCCCCAGAGAAGGAATGGGGGCAGAGTAAAGGAGGGACCCCATTCTTCTGCATCACATCAAACACTCAGAACACAGGATCAACTGCCCCCCATTAGTCACACAGGCAGTGACTGACATTCACCATCAAATAACGGCTATACATTTACAATGGGGGTGTTAGACTGTAAGCGTCAGGTCAGGCTATGCCTGCTACCGTAATGAGAGTAGATGGTACTACCTGCAGCTCATCAACCCCACTGCCTTGTGGGTAGCCAGGGAGGGCATAAGGTAAAGGGAGCAAACCCTGACAGAAAAGCCCCCTGCCTTGTGGTGAATTCGGGAGAATGTAAGCCTATGCGAGTAAACTCAGACAGAAAATCTGGAGCAGAGCTCCAAAGGCAGTCAGAGACTAATATTTTAGAAACTTTCTGGCAACTCCTGCAGCAGATCAGGTACCAGATGTATTGGTTCTTCCTCTTCTCTGGATTTTACCAGTGACACCGAGAGGGGGGTCCTGATGCATGGGCAACTCAGGGCCTCCATAGCATATGCCCAAGCTTGTGCCCTGGAGAGGTACTCCAGCTTCACCTCAAGTGTCGGCACAACTCGGGAGGCAGTCGTCACTGGTTCTAAGCTCTTACTCTATTGGCACAGAGTTGAATGCCAGGGGCTGTCTCTGACGGTGGGAGAGATCATCATATCTCACTGGACAACTACCACCCCCCAGAAAACTGGGCAGCCCCCAGACAACAGGGTGTTATCCCACCACAGTCTGCCTGCTTCAAATGGGTGTTTGGAGCTTAGAGTTCTATAGCTTGACAAGTGGACCAGGCAAATCAAGTAAAAGAAAGAAAACATCCTTAAAGACAGGGTGCTGGAACGTATGCACCATGACAACTGGATTACCTGAGGACCTTCAACAGATCAACGATGCACGTAAAACTGCCATGATCAATGACGAGCTGAAATGACTCAATGTGGATATCGCATCCCCCCAAGAAACTCGGCTAGCATCAAGCAGCTCTCTCAGAGAAAAAGACTACACGTCTATCTGGCAGGGGGAAAGCGCAGAAGAAACACGAGAGCACGGAGTGGGATTTGCCATTGAGAACTCACTTTTGGGGATGACTGAGCCACATACAAATGGATCAGAGAATTTTGGCAGCACACTTGTTCACATCTGAGGACTCAGTCAATCTTGTGAGTGTGTATGCCCCAACGCTCTCCTCGTCTTCTGACATCAAGGACCAGTTCTATGACCAGTTGAACACTACCATCAGCAGGATTCCGAAACACAAATATATGTTTTCCTGCTAGGGGACTTAATGCAAGGGTGGGAGCTGATCATAAAGCATGGACCAACTCTCTTGGTCAGCACGGAACTGGTAAGATGAATGTAAACCGTCAGAGACTGCTAGAACTTTATTCCTATTATCTCTGTGTAACAAACTTATTCTTCCAGACAAAGTCGCAACACAAAGTTTCTTGGAAACATCCCTGATCTGGCCACTGGCACCAACTGGATCTTATCATCACAAGGCATGCCAACCTTAACATTGTCCTCATTACCCAGAGTTATCAAAATGCTGATTGCAACACAGACCACTCTCTGGTACCCAGCAAGATCAGACTTAAACCAAAGAAAATACACATATGTAAAGTAAAAAGATGCCTTCATATTAACCTTAGTGCCATAGCAGACCAAGAAAAGCCACACCAATACAAGAACATACTACAAACCCTTGAGACCAGTGATTGTGTCACAAGTGCCCAGCTGAAGCATGAGCAACTGAAGAACACAATCTACAATGCAGCTCTGAATCTTTAGGAAGAAGAAAAACAAGATCAATGACTGGTTTGACGCATATTCCAGTGTATTGACACTAGTCATAGAGGCCAAACACACCAGCCTAAACCACCTACAAGAGAGACCCAAATGAGAAAACCTTACCAGTGCTGAGAGTGGCAAGAACCAAGGTACAACAAACTGCTCAACACTGCACCAACGACTATTGGCTGCACTTATGTGAAGGCATCCAAGTAGCAGCTGATGCAGACAACATCAGAAACATGTATGACGGGATCAAGAAAGCCTTGGGTCCAACTTCAAAGAAGACAGCCCCATTGAAATCAACAACAGGGGAAACAATCAGTGATCGCACCAAGCAAATGAATCCCTGCGTAGAACACTACTCTGACCTTTACTCTAATTAAATATTGTTACGGACATAGCCATCAATGCCATCAAAAGCCTGCCTGTTATGAACCAACTTGACAATGAGCGAACTATTGAGCAGCTTAGCCTTGCCATAGATGGTCTCCCCAATGGAAAGGCCCCTGGAAAAAACTGCATAACCGAGGTTATAAAATGCAGAAAATCTATTCTACTGCAACATCTTCATGAGTTGCTCTGCCTATCCTGGAAAGAAGGTGAAGTACCACAAGAAATGAGAGACGGCAACATCATCACTCTATAAAAACAAGGGTGACAGGAGCGACTGTAACAACTATTATGGCATTTCCCTTCTTAGTATTATGGGAAAAGCCTTTGCCCACTTGTCCTGAACAGACTTCAGACCCTTGCAGGCAGAATCTATCTTGAATCACAGTGCAGCTACAGAGCTGAAAGGTCTACTATCAACATGATCTTCTTGCTGAGATAACTACAAGAGAAATGCAGAGAACAAAAGAAGCTCCTCTACATAGCCTTTGTCGATCTCACAAAGGCTTTTGACCTTGTCAGTAGAAGTGGACTATTCATGCTTCTAGAAAAGATTGGATGTCCCCCCAGGCTCCTAAGCATGATTCGATCCTTCCATGAAAACATGTACAGCACAGTTCAATATGACTCATAGCGGAGTTAAGCAAGGCCGTGTACTTGCCCCAACTCTGTTTGGGATCTTCTTCTCCCTGCTACTGAAACAAGCTTTTGGTTCCTCAGCTGAGGGAATCTACTTGCATACAAGGTCTGATGGATTGCTGTACAATCTTGCAAGACTCAGATCTAAAACCAAGACTCGGGAGGCCCTTATCCAACTCCTCCTTTGCTGATGACACAGCAGTGACAACCCACACAGAAGCTCATCTTCAAAGTTTAATGGACAGTTTTTCTAAAGCCTGCCAAGACTTTGAGCTTACTAGAAGCCTAAAAAAGACTAACATAATGTGCCAAGGAGTTGAGGAAGCACTCTCCATCAAGATCAACAACTATGAACGTGAAGCGGTGAACAAATTCACATGCCTGGGGTCCACTATCGCAGTCAACCTTTCACTTGAAACAGAACTCAACATCCACATTGAAAAACCCGCCACAACAATGTCTAGACTGAACAAGGAGGGTCTGGCAGAACAACAACTGACAGAACACACAAAGATCTGTGTGTATCGTGTGTGTGTTATCAGCACACTTTTGTACGGGAGCAAGACCTTATATTCTCATCAGGAAAAGAGGCTCAACAGCTTTAATATGCGTTGCCTTCAATGAATCTTTGGAATCTCTTGGAGGGACAGAGTCACCAACACTGAGGTCCTCGAACAGGCCAGCATATCCAGCATCCAAACACTCCTCAAACAAACAGAGAAGCCTCCGCTGGCTTGAGCATGTGTGCTGAATGAATGATAGGCGCATCCCAAAGGACATCCTCTACGGCAAATTGGCATCTGGAAAAAGACGCAACGGAAGCCCAAAATTGCATTTCAAGGATGTGTGCAAGCGAGACCAAGAAATGGATGTGGACAAATGGGAAGATCACACTCAAGACCGGAGCCTTTGGAAACAAGAGTTTAACAAAGGTCTCTGGAGTTCCGGGAGAAAGCTGTCCAGCTTAGCAGAGAAGAAAAGAGCTCACAGAAGGCAGGGCCCAAAGAGTCAAGACACCACCTTTAAATGTGACAGATGCGGCAGAGATTGTCTCTCTCAAGTGGGTCTCTCCAGGCATAAAACCAACTGAGTAAATTCTTTACCTCTCAGGGGCGCACATTCATGGGCTCCCGAGACTGATGGATGCCTACTACTATTAGACTGTAAACTCTTTGGGGCAGAGATTGTCTTTTTGTTCTGTGTTCATACAGCACCTAGCACAATGGGGCCCTGATTCAGGAGTGCAATACAAATAATAATAAATGATCATTTAGAACAGGTAAGAACAAACAGAGGTGGAGGAGCTCCGAGGACCCGCAGGTAGCTACTCCACTCACCTCCTCTGAAGTGTTTCAATCCCTTGGAGCCCCACTGTGACACCCTGACACCCCAATATTCACCACTGTCATGTAGTTAGGACATGTTTTGTACAAAGTATGTCTTGTAAGGTATCATTCTAAAAGTCTTGATCTGCTAGACCTTAATATCTCATTGGATTGTATGTGCTATTGTTGTATGTGAAGTTATGAAGTTTGGCTATATATGTCAGGTTTCAGAGTAACAGCCGTGTTAGTCTGTATTTGCAAAAAGAAAAGGAGTACTTGTGGCACTGTAGGGAGCCAGGGTGGCTCTCCTCCGAACCAGAGGGTAAAGAGCCACCCTCTGAGCCAGACTGGGCAGGGCCAGGCCAAGCTTCCGCCAATCCCCGGAAGGGGAAAGGTGGGACAGGAAGTACAAAGGACGGGGCCCTCCGCCCAGTGAAGAGAGCACCAGGGAGGGAGACAGACACAGGCTGCTCCCTCGCGATCCTGCTGCTGACCCAGGCGAAGCCCTGGGCAAGGAGGAGCCTGACCGGGGGGAAGGCCTGTGGCAACCAGGGCTGCCGGCCGCTGAATACCCAGAGGACCTGGAGGGGCCTGACTGCAGCCCGGGCCAGCGTGAGTCCGATACCGAGGGGGAACGGGAGCGGCGCGCAGCGGAATACCCAGAGAAGATGGAGGGACCGGAGCTGCCCGCAGCGGAATACCCGGAGGAGATGGAGGGACCGGAGCGGCCCACCTGAGAGACCGGGTAGGAAGTAGCCCAGGGGCCGAACTACACCGTGGGGTGGGTGTGTTTGGTTAGCGGGCGCGGACGGCCCCGGTGACCCAGCGGCGGGACTTTTGCCTCCCGCCGCTGTCAGGGCCCTGGGCTGGAACCCAGTGGAGTTGGGTGGGCCTGCGTTCCCCTACCCCGGCGCTCCCCTGCCTGGGGGCGCGCTACTGACTCTTGCCGGCGCTCCCCTGCCTGAGGGGCGCGCTACTGACTCCGGCCGGCACACCTTCCCGCTAATTCCCCAATGCCCGGAAGGTGTGGCCGAGGCCTGCCACGGAGACCATAGCTCTCCATCGCCCCTAGGGGCTCGGAGGACCGACCGACCCCTGTCACAGGCACCTTAGAGACTAACCAATTTATTTGAGCATAAGCTTTCATGAGCTACAGCTCACTTCATCGGATGCATACTGTGGAAAATACAGAAGACGTTTTTATACACACAAACCATGAAAAAATGGGTGATTATCACTACAAAAGGTTTTCTCTCCCCCCACCCCACTTTCCTGCTGGTAATAGCTTATGTAAAGTGATCCTCTCCTTACAATGTGTATGATAATCAAGGTGGGCCATTTCCAGCACAAATCCAGGTTCCCCCCCCCCCCCCCCAACCTATTTCCCCTTGTTTTTTCCTACCCCCCCTCAGACTTTCTTGTTAAACCCTGGATTTGTGCTGGAAATGGCCCAGCCTGATCATCATACACATTGTAAGGACAGTGATCACTTTACATAATCTATTACCAGCAGGAGAGTGGGGTGGGGGGAGAGAAAACCTTTTGTAGTGGTAAACACCCATTTTTTCATGGTTTGTGTGTAAAAACGTCTTCTGTATTTTCCACAGTATGCATCCGATGAAGTGAGCTGTAGCTCCCGAAAGCTTATGCGCAAATAAATTGGTTAGTCTCTAAGGGACTATATATGTGTTACTGAAACATGTTGTGGGGTTGAAAACATCCACATGTAGCCTTTCAGGTACAACAGTAAAAAGGCCAAACCATGTTAATGGCTTATTGAGGAAATGCACACAAACATGAGGATTACCCCAGGAACTGTGTACAATAGAAACCTCTCAGAGATAGCGCTACACAATAAGAACTCTTTGACCCAGGTCACAGGAAAAGAGCTTTCCAGCAAGTGGGGAGAAGATATAAAAGGGGCATAATGACAGCATGGGGGGACCTCACTCTCCCTACAACACCACGACTGGAAACACATTGGGGGCAAGGACTGAACTGTGGGAAGTGATGGTCCCAGGTGAGAAGGATTTTTAGCCTGAGTATGAAAACCTGGGAAAGCCAAGGCAACATGTGCCTTAAGAATCTGCCAGCCTGTTTATCACTCACGGTGAGAATTTGCTAATTTATATCCTACCTATCTAGTGTTTTAAGCTCAGTTTGCGTTTTTTGTTTATTTACTAAGGTGATCTGCTTTGATCTATTTGCTATCACTTCCAATCATTTTTAATCCATCTTTTGTAGTTAAACAACTCGTTTTTGTTTTTCTAAAACCAGTTTGTGGAATTCATAACTGAGGGGCAAAAAGCTGTGCATATCTCTCTCCACATTGAGGGAGAGAGCAAATGTTATGTACTTACACTGTACAGTTCTTTTGAGTTTACACTCCAGAGGGGGGTGAGCACTTGAGTAACTGGGCAGTTCCTTAGCTGAGCCTTCTCATGCAGAGCTAATCTCAGTGTCTGTGTGTTTCTGCACTTGGGGGTGTCCCTACCTGTATGTGCGCTGGTAAAGTGCAGCCTGAAGCTTGGGGAAGGGCTTGACAGGCTGCATAGCAGTACAGTGTTAAGGGAACCCAGACTGGTGGGTCAGGCAGGCGGAGTGGTACCCCAGTACATCAGGTGGCTCCCCAGACTGGGGGGGGGCAACCCATCACACCCACTCCCCCATAGCCAATGGGAGTTTTGCACAAGAGCAACCTGCAGGAGCAAGTCAATGCTCACCCATGCTGGAGCCTGAGAGAATTCTTCCTTCCCCCAATTCCTGATGATCCCCAGCATCCAGCTCTTCCTCTTGTTTAATCCAGATTAAAGTGTCAGATGTGGAAACTGGTGATTATGTTAATGAGAAACAGAAACAAATTAGTGTGTGTTTTACAAACACGTATTGACCCCTTTCTGCAAAGGATTTGGGGCTAGAGCTGTCTGGGACGGGTGGAAGGTTGATAACATTTTGTGGAGAGAAGGGAAAACAGATGAGAAAACACATCCAGACAGATGTGGTTATACATGATGATGGGCCAGGTGCTGTTCACGCCTCTCACCAAGTCCAGGTTCCAACCCACTCCTCACCTGTGCTGGGCTCCAGGGGAATTTCTCTGTCCGCCGAACCCCTCTGACCCCTGATACACGGCTCCTTCCCCTCCTTCAGCCCGGGGCAGGATGTCAGGGTTGGAAATGGCATGGCCTATTCATGAAGACAGAGTTGAGGGGAAATGAGTGGTTTATTCATATTCACCAGGCACTTACATGTGATTTTAAACCTGAGCTGAACAGAGGCAGAACTGGTGATCCTCAGGAAAGCAGATCTCTGCTTTTCCCAGGGGTGCCTGAGGAATTCCCACACTCCTGTAATATTGTACCCTGCAGGGTCACACAGCTCCCCCTGCCTTGTCCACTTTTCATCCTCTTGTCTTGGAGGGGGGGTTCACTTCTGCCTGGGCAGAGGTAAGGGCGAAAAGGGGACGTGGCAGGGGCTGAGACAGGGTGTGGTTGGCATATGGGTTTCAAGTGCAAATCCAGTTCATGAACATGAGATGCCTGGCAGATACTTGGGAGGGCTCCGAGAGACTCCTACAGCCAGCCAGGAGTAGCAGTTCACCTGTGTATGCTCTGGAGCTGCGCTTCCAACAGGAAGTTCAGTGCCTCGTATGCAGACTACAGGACACTTCGTGGCCCACTGGCCTGCAGCCCCCTTCTCTCATCTTCCTTCAGCTTGTTGGATGATGAGTAACAAAGCGCTGGGCCCTGCCGACGACTCTCTCTCAGCCCTTGCCCAAACCCTGCATTTTTTAGCCCTTACGGAGAACGTGTGGGTTTGTGATACTTGGTAGAACTCACCGGCGCTAGGGTCCACAGGGATTTCTCTTTCCACCAGCCCTTCCTTCTTCTGGATTCTTTCCTCCAATCCTTCCAGGGATTCCCACCGATCCCTGACACATGGCTCCTCCCCTCGTTCAATGCGGGACAGAATGTCTGGCTTAGAAACAGCGTAGTCTGTTCATGGTAGCAGATGTTAAGGGAACGTCATGGCCTATTAATATTCATTGCAAATAATGCTAAATGATTTTAAACCAGCTCCCCTTCCCTCGCTGGAGCGGACGACAGATCTGAAAGGAGGCCAATACCTAATAAGGATCCTGTAAAAAGATACCATTTCTTGTGGAGGTCAGGTGTGCTTCCCAGCAGAAGAGCCGGGGGTCACCACATAGAAGGGGAGTTGATCGGCCAGAGCCAGTTCAGGGAGGAATGCTCAATGCTATATTATTACCAGGTGAACAAAAGGAGAGATTACTTACCTTACGGTAACTTTAATTCTTCAAGATGTTTTATCCCTATGGGTATGCGCACCATAAGATGTGCATGTAACCAACTTGCCTAAGAGGGAGATATCTCTTTAAGACAGTGGAACTCAACCTGCAGCCCAATCAGCACACAGCTGTGGCCCATGTGACACCCCCAGGGCCATACAGTTAGTCTATATATTGCGTGAATGCGGCTCACATAACATATAGAGAGCTACATATGTGGCCCATAATGGTAAATAGGTTGAGAACCACTGCTTTAAGAGATCTATGAGGGGAGGGGGTAGGAGTAAGTTGTTCTGGGGTCATTGTTGCTAGGCAGATTTAGAACTCCACATCTGGAAGTTTCTGGAATTGGGTGTGGTAGTTCTGGGCATGCTCCAGTAGGTTCCCTGTTGCTGGGGTCAGACACCAGGAGGGCAAGCAGGTAGGGGCTTTTGCAAAACAGCTGCCATGTGCCCTGCGTAGGCTGGGAGAAGCTGAGCCCAGGAGCAGAAAGCAGATTGTTTTCCCCTAACTCTGAAGCATTTTACAGCAGGTAAGTAATGTTGTTAAACCGACAACAGGGAAGCACAACCAGCGTTAATTAAAGGAAGGGGAAATTGGGAGGTAAAAATAATTTATTTTATTGTAATTGTATACTGTGAACATTGTATTGATTTTATCCCAAATGTTTTAATTACATTAACTCAACCAGTGCGATTCACCAGCTTTTCTTTAAAATTGATCATGGGGAAAGAGTCATTTATATTTTGCAATTTCTTGTAACAGGGTTTGTTTTAAATCTATACACTTAACTGAGTGATTGGCTAGCAGTGATTTCAGCAGAGGAAGAATCTGCATGGATTCCAACTGAAGATTCCTAGAAGCAAGTGGAGGGAAGATGTTGCTTTTGAACCAGCAGACTGTACAGATTTGGTGGTCAAAGAATCAGACTCAGGTGAACTCAACCTAAACTTTTGGGAACTCTGAGTTTCCTCTCACTGTGTTTCTGTGGAGACTGAGCTGTTTAGATTTAATTTGTTTTCTTTATGTTTATGCATAACTGTGAAGACAATGTATAAAGTTGCCAAGTTATATTGTAGAAATTAAGTTATTCTTATTCATTATGTTTCTTTATCATAAGATTTATAATGTTGGTACTTAATTAAGTTCATTCCTTTTGTTCTTTTGGGGACTTGAATGTGGGGAGGTTGACACTGTGCAATCCTTGCTGAAAATCCTTAGACTGAATTTTGGGTTTCCAGCTACCTTTCTGTGGGAGTTGGGTTTTTTAGGCACTAGAGAAGGACAATGAAATGAACTCATCCCCCCGCAAAGGTTACATGTGCACACCCATGTGCTCTCAATGAGAGACAGCAAAGCAGGGTCTGTAGGCCTGCGCAGAGCGGGACCTTGTGCCTCCACAAAAGGGCATATAAGGAGGTGTGAACTCACTGACACTCAGTTCCTTGACTGTGAAGAAGAGCATCTGCAGCCGAGGGGAAGGAAGGTGGAACTGACATAGGGACAAAACATCTCAAAGAACTCGAGGTCCTATAAGGTAAATAACCTCTCCTCCTCCTTTGAGTGTATATGTCCCTATGGGTGCTCCACCAGAGGAGACTCTCAAGCAGTAAACTCCACAGGGAGGCAAGTCCAAGATGGTTCGGAGTACTGCGTCACCAAAGGCAGAAGTAGGTAAGATGGCATAATGCTTGGCAAAGGTGTAAACAGAAGACCAAGTTGCAGTCCTACACATTTCTGTTATGGGAATGTCTTTCAGTTGTGGACTGAGGTCCGGAGAGGAGCGTGCTGTCACTTTGTGAGGGGGCCGCATTGCAGCATGTTCTAAACAAGTTGAATTGCAACCCATTAGACAGTCTGAGTGGAAATAGGGTTTCCCTTCATCCTCTCAGCAGATGATACAAATAATCTCTGAGAAGCCCAGGTAGAAGGTTAGAGCCATTCTGACACCTAGTATAAGTAGACTGGTCTCCTCTCCAGAGGCTTTGGGTAAAACACTGATAGGCGGCTTTCGTCTAGCTCTGCCATAAGAGCACTGAGCTCTTCCATTCCTCCAGCTGAAGAGACAGCTATAAGGAACTAAGTCTTGAGGGAGAGGTAGAAGTCCCCGCCTCTCAAAGTGCTGCAACAGCCACTGGGACGTTGAAGCCAATGTAAGGAGGAGGACGCGGGCCCCGCCGGGGCTAGCAAGCATTCCATTAGATGGAGCTTCAGTCTAGCCTCCCTGAACTGATCTTACACTTGGACAGAATGTGGGTGTCTCCAAGGCAGCTCAAATGCCTGTCACTACAGAGAAAAGACCTGTGGCAGGTTTGGCAGGACTTAAACCCCAGGATCTTTCGCATAATACAGAGTGTTAATGGACCAAAATGGACTATAGAAAGAAAAGGGGGGGGGGGGGAGAAGCTGTGTTAAAACTGAACGCAGAAATAAAATGATCACACAAACAAAGGAAAAACTAAGAATAAATCACTATGTTAAGAAAGGCGGGAAGCCGAGAACCAGCGGACATGCAACCACTCCATCTCGAGCTGCAGGCACTTGAGAAGGAACTGAGTGGCAGCAGGTCCGTGCCCCCCTATATCCCCTTATTTGGAGGCGCCACTCTGAGCAGATGTGGGCCTGCAGACACTGCTTTGTAGTTTCCAGTCAAGAGCACATAGCGTGCGTGCATCCTACGGTGCAGCACCCTATGGACATACACTCAAAGAACTAGCTGATACAATGGTAGGACTGAGATTTTAAATCAGCAGAAGACTGATTTTACCACAGGATGGAGTGATCTGGATCTTTAAGGAAACGAAGGATGGTTTTGTATTTCAGGCACTGGCCTGCTACTCAGCACACCTGGGTTCAATTCCTGGCTCTGCCACAGACTCCCTGTGTGACCTGACAATCACTTAAACTTGCCAAACCTGATCCAAAGTGCTCTGAAGTCAATGGGAGACATTCCACATGCTTCAAAGGGTTTGGGAAAACTAGATAGCTGTAGCTCACGAAAGCTTATGCTCAAATAAATTTGTTAGTCTCTAAGGTGCCACAAGTCCTCCTTTTCTTTTTGCGAATACAGACTAACACAGCTGTGTTAGGATATAGATATTCAGGCCTGTCTGTAAAGGCCTATCCTTTAAGAATTTAGGTGTATTCTTAATACTTGGCTAGTTATAGAGGTATAAAAGAAAGAATCAAAATCACTGTCTGATGGTGTAAGAGCCTTCTCTTACTGTGACAGTCTGAGGCCCTGTTCTTAGGCTAAGGCCTTTGGCTAAGCAGCAGAGGCAGCCATAAGCTGGGAAGCAAACGGTCACATCCTCACATTCCAAACTAGTCACACTGAAAGAAGGTGCTATTGGGCTCTTAGGAATACAATCCTGTCCTGATAGTGCCTATCGCCTCCAGAGAAAGGGAAGTGTCTAGATAATGTAAAAGGAAACTTAGTTTGATAGCATCCTGTCTGGCAAGAACTCACTTATCAATAGCTGGGATGTGAAATCCTCACTTCTGTATTGTTTTGTCATTATAGTTCCCACTTTGCTATTGTTTGTCTGTATAATCTCTGTCTGGTTCTGTGATTGTTCCTGTCTGCTGTATAACTAATTTTGCTGGGTGTAAACTAATTTAAGGTGGTGGGATATAATTGGTTACATAATCATGTTACAATATGTTAGGATTGGTTAGTTAAATTTCAGGAAAATGATTGGTTAAGGTACAGCTAAGCTGAACTCAAGTTTTACTATATAGTCTGCAGTCAATCAGGAAGTGAGGGGGTGTGTGTGTGTGGGGAAAAATGGGAACAGGGAATGTGGGTAAGGAAATTGGAATCATGTTTGGCTAAGGGCAGGAATGGGAACAAGGACACAGGTGTAAGGCTCTGTGGTGTCAGAGCTGGGAAGGAGGATACTAAGGAAGGAAACTGGAATCATGCTTGCTGGAAGTTCACCCCAATAAACATTGAATTGTTTGCACCTTTGGACTTCGGGTATTGTTGCTCTCTGTTCAAGCGAGAAGGACCAGGGAAGTAAGTGGGTGAAGGAATAAGCCCCCTAACAGGCTGCTACTCTGAAACTAGATATTAGAGGCATCGCAGCGATGAACAGGCTCCTCGCGTACCCTGCAGCATGTAACTACAACAGTTATCTGCAGCTAGGAAGCACTGGACCAGATATACATCTGCAGTTTCCAATTTAGTTCTAAATAGGAGGGTGTGTGGTATGAGCTGTCGATTGCTAATGCTCTGGGAAGTAGTGATCCACTGGAAATCAAAGGAACTGGAGAATAACCTGCAATGGGAACCAGAGGAGGAACTGTTTCTAATCAGAGAGTGAAATAGCTATGAGCCAGGATCAATGGCTATTAACTAGGATGGGTAGGGATGTTGTCCCTAGCCTCTGTTTGCCAGAAGCTGGGAATGGGCGACAGGGAACGGATCACTTGATGATTACCTGTTCTATTCATTCCCTCTGGGGCACCTGGCATTGGCCACTGTAAAAAGACACGATACTTAGCTAGATGGACCTTTGGTCTGACCAGTATGGCCGTTCTTATGAAAACTGATCCTTACCCAGAGAGATCAGGGTCTCATAGTTCCCCTTCATAACATTCTTGTAAAGCTCTTTCTGCCATTCCTCTAAGTTCTCCCACTCCTGCTCATTAAAATAGACTGAGATGTCATCAAATGTCACCGGCACCTGGAATCACAAGGGTTATAATAAGCTTCTTCTTAGACTATAAGGACCTGACCCAAAGCTCACTCAGGTGAATGCCACTGACTTACATAGGTTATGGAGGAGATCCTTATGGCAGGGAATGCATCTTGTGCTGTGCTCTTAGATGCACCAAGACCGGAGCACGAATTTTAGCAGAAACTTTGAAGAATCAGGGCCAAATTCAGCAAGAAGATGTGTGTCTCCTGAAAAGTGCAGAGCACCCTCAGCTCCCACTGACTACATGAAGCATTTGTAGGTGGTCTGTTGAGAGCATCTGGTTGGCTAGCTGTGGCGTAAGTTTCCAACCACTGTTTCCAAATTGCATCAGAAGTGATACATAAGTACACTCCTAATATTACTTTTCCACATCAGCACTTGCTGGAGATGAACAGCAAATCAGTGACTGAGCTGGAAACAGAGCCCAGATGTCCCGACTCTCAGTCCCGTACATTATCCACAAACGACTGGACCAACTGGATCTGGCCAGTAAGTTATTGGACACTTTGAAGCCAGTAAGATCACTCCCTGCACCTAAGGTGTAATAAAGTGAATTAAGGGGGCCTGCATATCAGAAGATATGAAAACCCGTTCAGTACCTAACTTCCTATCCCTCAGCACTAGCTAGGACGGATAGGCAACCTATGGCACGGGTGCCAAAGGCAACACACGAGCTGATTTTCAGTGGCATTCACACTGCCCGGGTCCTGGCCACCGGTCTGAGGGGCTCTACATTTTAATTTAACTTTAAATGAAGCTTCTTAAACATTTAAAAAACCTTATTTACTTTACATACAACAATAGTTTAGTTATATATTATAGACATATAGAAAGAGACCTTCTAAAAAACTTAAAATGTATTACTGGCACAAAAAACCTTAAATTAGAGTAAAGAATAAATGAAGACTCAGCACACCACTTCTGAAAGGCTGCCAACCCCTAAGCTAGGATATTGTTACCTTGGGGACTTCTCCCTTAGTGCCTGGGGGCAGTCTTAAGATCCAGAAGTTCCTGTTTCTCAGCAGGTTCTCCAGATTCTCCAGCCTCCTCTGCAGGAAATTATTCTCCTGGACCAGAGTTCCCAAAATAGTCCATTTACTCTCCAGCTGGTTACCAAATTCCATCGCTGTCTTCTCACAGTCTGTTAACTTCTTCTCAGTTGTCCCTGTTCTCCTCTCCAGATTCAGTAATCGTGAGGCATGGGAATTCACCTTCCTCTCCACAGCTTGGATGGCAGCCACTACTGTCCACAAGGAGATCTCTGTAGTGTGGTGATGGGCTTCATTCACAGGAGTTTGTTCGGGAACACCAGGAGCCTGCTTGCATGAAGAAAAACGAAGTCAGCATCAGCAAAAAACAGCACAAGAACTGTTTCCCTTCCTGTAGTGAAGGGGATTTGAAATGGAAACCCCACAATGCCTGACTCATATCAAGTGTGGAACATTCATAGGCTTTAGGGCCCAAAGGGACCATCCGATCATCTAGCCTGATCTCCTGCGCACCACAGGCCATTCAGTTTTACCCAGTTACCCCGGTACTGAGCCAGGTAACTAGTGTAGCGGTCCTCAAACTGTGGGTCGCAATCCTCTGACTCCGTTTTCATGAGGCTGCGGGGGCAGCTCCGGGAAGCGGAAGGTGGGGGGTAGGGCCAGGTGTCCGGTTTTCAGCCGGAACCTCTGGTCGAAAAGGGATCCTGGCGGCTCCAGTCAGCACCACTCACCCGGCCCTTACTGCACGAACTAGCAACCGACGAGCTGGTGTCTTGACGCTCTCCACAAGCCCGCGCTCTGCGCACCCCGGCGGGGACCTACAGCCCCCCAGGGCGCCCACGGCCGGGGGCTCGGCGGAGCTTGGACACAACAGCAGGAAGCCCGAGCACGACGGCCGGTTTCTCTGGGGCAAGGGAGGCTCCCGCACAGACCGACAACCTCCCCCGCCGGGCCGGGCCGGGCCGGGCCGGGCGTGCGCCCAAGGGAGCCCCCGGGAACCGGGCAGCTTCCCGCAGCGCCCGGGGCGGAGCTGAACCCCCGGGGGTACCTGGGGAGCAGCGCCGGGCCCCGCCCCTGCCGCCAGGGACCCCCCAGCCCGGCCGGGCAGCACCGCGCTCCCGGGGCCCGGGCCGGGCGGGGAGAAGCTCCCGGGCCCCGAGGCCCCCCCGCCCGCCGGGCCCTTACCTGGGCAGCGGCCCGCTCGGCCATGGCCCCCCCGGGCGGGGCTGCTCCCGCGGGCCCGGCCCGGCCGAGCCCCGCTCCCGCTGCGGGCTGGGCAGAGTCCCGGCGCCGCCTCGCCACGGGCCGGCCCCGCTGCCGGGCGCCGCGCAGTGCATGCCGGGAGCGAGCCGCGGCCTCGCCCCCCCCCCAAGAGAAGCGCCTGAGCCGGAATCCGCAGGGGCGCCGCGAGCGGACAGCGCCGCCTGCAGGGCGCGGCGGAGAACGCAGCTCGTGGCCCGGAAGGTTCAGCCCGAAAGGCCGCGTCCATCCTCCCCTGCTGTGCGAGCCCCGCCTCCCCCCAGCACCAGGCGGGGGTGACCCTGTAAATATAACGGATATTGATTCAGAGATTTTACCCCCCCCCCCCAACCAGGGTCCCCTCGACTGAGCTCCCGTACGAGCCCTTCCACGGCACCCCTTACCGCCCTGCAGAATCCACACCAGAAAGAAATCCCCTTAAGTAGGGCCCCAAAGAAGAGGAGGACTTGTGGCACCTTAGAGACTAACACATTTAGCTGAGCACAAGCTTTCCTGAGCTCCAGCTCCCTTCATCGGATGCATTCAACAGCGGGTCAGTAAATCCCTGGCCCTGGTGCCAGGGCCCGGGGTGGTGCAGTTACGACAGATCACGCACGGCGCAAGCCCCTGCCAATTGCCTTTGAAGGGTCATGGAGAAGTAGGGTTGTGCCAACCCTCCCAGACTGGCCTGGAGTCCCCAGCAGTTAAAGATGATGTCATGTGAGGAAATCTCCAGGAACTCGTCCAACCAAAGTTGGCAACCCTACAGAGAAGATCAAGGGCCCAGATTTATGAATAGTGGAAAGACTTCAGTGGGGCTACATCTGAACCCAGCCCTACCTGCTCCCTCGCAAATAAACCCACATTCTGCAGCATGGTCCCTGGATTATGCAGCAGTTTAGTTTAAATTATGAAATTACAGGCCAGATCCTCAGATGGCGTAGAGTAGCCTCGCTCTGTTGACTTCAACTTAACTAGGGTGATATACAGCCAGTGAGGAGCTGGGCCTAACTTTTGTTAAATGAGCTGAATATGAAATGATCAGTACAAGAGCCTGCATGTTATTTATTTTGATACTGAGCACAATTTATGTTGCCCCCACATTTTCAGCATTCAATAGGCCCCAGATTTTTATTTCACTGCATCATTGAAGTTGTCATGGGGGAAAGATTCAGGCAGCTGGGACTTGGAGGATTAGCACAAATGGAGACATTAGAGGCAGTTTGGGACTGTAGGATAAGCACAGTAGTTTGATGTTTCTGCTAAAATGAGTAGCAGACACAACGGTTTTTACATTTGAATTAACACTGTTAGGATCCAGAGGCAGCACCCTATACAGATGTGTGGGGCGAGTGGTTTCAGACAGTCTGCCAACACAAGAAAGCCACACCGCATGAGTTAGGTCAGGTCTGCACTACAGACCTATATCAGTCTAACTATGTCACTCAGGGTGTGAAATAATCCACCCCCGGAGCGATGCAGTTACACTGGCCTAATGCCTCGCATAGACAGCACTATGTTGGCATGAGAACTTCTCCCACCCCCATAACTACTGCCTCTACAGCAGGGGTTCTCAAACTGGGGGTCAGGACCCCTCAGGGGGTTGTGAGGTTATTACATGGGGGGGGTTGCGAGCTGTCAGCCTCCACCCCAAACCCTGCTTTGCCTCCAGTATTTACAACGGTGTAAAATATATATACAAGTGTTTTTAATGTATAAGGGGGGGTGCACTCAGAGGCTTGCTGTGTGAAAGAGGTCACAAGTACGAAAGTCTGAGAACCCCTGCTCTAAAGGAAATGAATTAACGACACCAATGCAAGAAACTCTCACATTGGTGCTAAAGCACTGGAGTGGTGCACACAAAGACAAGCCCTTACATTCAGTTCAAGTTTCCAAGGTTATCTGGGCAATCATAAGACCTGCAGCCATAAGCTGAATAAGCAAAACACCGGATTCTGAAACACATGCTCTGGTTGGCTGGTTTTGGATTACCACAGCACTATAGGCCTTAACTTTTACCAACTCATAACTATGATTTCAATAGGACTACTCAGACCTAAAGTTACGCACCAAGACATGACGCTTTGTAGATAGTTTCAGGTGCTTATTTTTGCTCTCCGATTTGTAACTATTAGGTGAGCTATGGTTTTGGATTGAAATGTGCTACTTCTCAGATACTGTCTTGAAGACTGAAGTCTGAGACAAAAGAACTGCCTTTCCAGATGAGACCAGTTCTCCATCCCCGTCCAGGGGTCCATCTCCGACAGCAACCAGTACCAGCTCCTTCAGGGGAACAACAATTTCCATAGTGGAAGCTTCTTCTTAATCCCAGGCAGTTCGTGACAAGCTTATCCACTGGCACCTTGATCGTTGATTGAGGCCTGTAGGCTCAATCAGAATATAAATAATAAATTGGGGAGGAGGGAGAACAAATTCCCTGAAACAAGAGAGTGTTTAGATCCCTTATATCTTGTTATCCTAACAAGGGTAACTGTGACTGTTCTCATTATCTGTATAAGCATTGAATCATGCTTCTGGAACCCTACTGAGAAACTGGCATTGACAATATCTTGTAGCAGAGAGTTCCACGGGCTCATTATGTGTTGTGTAAAATAGGATTTATTTTTATCAGGTTTAAATTAGTTGCCTTTCAATTTCACTTGATACCCTCTTGCTCTTGTTTATGAGACAGGGAAAACACGAGCACCCAATTACCTTCCATGCCATTTAACTCAAATACCAAAAACAGATGGGGAAAAAGAGCACTATTAAATATTTACCATTTTCACTCTTTAGAGAAGTGCTGACACAACTCCCAATCTACATGTCTAGCTCTTCCAAAAAGACCCCTACAAAAACAGGGAATACTAAACTTGATGTCAAGCAGGAAAAAGAAATGTCTTTGGAAACTAACAAAAATCTTTCAGGTCTTTTGTATACATCACCATAAAGAAATGTAAGAGGGTGCACACCTAATTCTTCTGTCCCCTTTGCAATTCACCTCTAGGAATGCTGTGTTATTTACCATAGCCCTCCAAAGAGGCTCATCTGGTTTTTGTAGTCACCACACCCAACCCTCACCACAATGGACAATTATTTTTTGAATCAATAGGTTTTATGTCCATTTCACTTTTGTTACAATTTTTTTTATTAGAATAAATGTCAGATGGACAATGTTACAGGACAGATTTGTCATTCAGGTTACAAGACAAAAGAGGTACAGAAGAAAGGCAGACAAGAGCTTTGCATATCCATTTCAAGACAATTAGGATGCAGACTATATACAGGCCACCCAGTAACACCACCTCATATGGTACAAAAAGCGAAACCAGAATGGTACCCAGCACTAGTAGAGGGGAAGTAAGTAACCTGGTGTTATTGAACCACCAGTGTGAGTGGAAGGGGTGAGGGGGGTATCAGAAGCAATATACACTTACATAAGAAAACCTGTGCCATTTCTGTACCACCACAAACCTGGAATTTCCATGCTCAGAGTATTTATGAAACTGCTCCCAAACCATAGCATCATCGGGAGAATCGTTGACGCTACCCAAGTTCAGCTTCTCAGTGTTCATAACAGCCCATTATTCCCTGCAAACCATTCATGGTGGGGAAGGATCATCAGCCATTCCCACCAGTGAGCGATGACGGAGTTTAGCTGCCATTATACATGTGAGAACATAAGTCCCGATAAAAACCCACACAGAGAGACGAATTTTTATTGTTTAGGGGTTTTTTCCTTGCGAGGACAGGACAGGACAGGCGCAGCCCTAATGTTAAGATTATCGTCTGAACCTTGGACCAAAAGAAACCTATATTGGAGGAGAGCCAGCAAAGAAGGGCTTCTGCGCTGCAGGACAGCGACACCTTCCCACTAGGAGGGCAGGTATTAGGACACAAATCTTGCAGGAACAGCTGATGAGATTTCAGCCCCATTGAATCTAACCTAAACCCTAGCCCTCACTCTGCTCACCGGGATCCAGACATGCTTCCCCACCAGCCCTAGCCCAGCTCACACTGAACTGTGGGGCAAGCTTGTGAACATTCTGTCTGGTGCTTTTAGAAGTCATTTCGACAGCAAGGTGGCGCATACAAATAGCACTGCACAGACCTAGACTCGGACACTGCCCCAGGGAGTGTACCAGCTAAGTAGGACAAGACACGGCATAGGAAAACAGATCGGGTGTGGGGATTATTGACTAGCAGGAGGAGGAAGGGGCAGGGGTTGCTCGGAGAGGAGAAATGGCTCTGTGCAGATGAGAACAGGGAGACCACTCCAGGGGTGTGGGGGGAGCATGATCCTGAGAAGGGGAGGAGTCGGGCAGACCTAGGAAGAAGGATCTGGACTCAGCACTCCCAGGTTTTTACCAGGAAGGTGCCAGGTATTTGCCGAACCACAGCAGTTAACCCTTTCACGCATGCAGATTCCTTCAGGCTCTGGAGAGCTAGAGTGCAGGTTTTACACCGCTTGCTCTTCAGCAGATCCTGCCTCTCCCGCAGCGTCGAGTGAGCAAAGAGGGAGTCTGCCGCAAGCACTGCAATCTCGCACACTTTAGTCAGCTGGTGCGGAGTAGAGATCAGACGCTCTTCACAGGTTTGTCCAGGGAGCCTGCGGGAGGATGAGATGCCAGGGCCCAATAGGGTCATTTACAATTGGACAGGAACAGCCCCACCCCACCCACACTCCAGCCCTGAGGCCTACCAAGCGCAGGGATGAACTGGTCTGGACATAACATGCTAGCTACAACCTAGTCACCCATCCCACTCCTTGGTGTTTTCGCGGTCTCCAGTCTTCGCCCTGGGGAAGTCTGCTGATCCTGTGGTGGCATCGTACCTGGGAAGACAGCCCTGCACTTTGCACGCTGGCAGGGCGTCCCAGTCTTGTGGCTCTGCAGACGCTTGTGGAAGCTGGCCCTGACCTTGTAGCTCTTCTTGCAGACGGTGCATTGGAACAGCCTCTCCCCAGAGCACGCTCGCTGGCCATTGGGCAGACGCTGCTTCTGAGCGGACCTCAGCACACTGGCCGGCCCTCCCTCTGGCCTGGAGCTGCTGGCCCGCACAGAGCTCGGCGTGGCAGCTACAGTCCTTGCCACGCTCCATGCAGTCCTGGGGATGCTCCTTCCCATGCCCCCACTGGTATCTGAGGACACTCCCCTTCAGCTGGAAGCTCTTCCCGCACACTACACACTGGAACGGCCTCTCCTCCACGCGGACTTGTCGGTGATTCAGAAGGAGCCACTTCCGGCTGTAGGTCTGCTCACAGCCGGTGTGTTTATACGGCCTCTCCCCAGCGTGGCTCGCATAGTGTCGGATGAACTCCAAATGGCACCGGAAGCTCCTGGCACACTCGGTGCACTGATAAGGTCTCTCTCTGGAACAGCTCCTGTGCTGTTTCCCAAAGCTCACTTTCAGCCGGAAGCTCTTCCCACCCTTCGTACACGTGATATATGGCCTCCCTCCCACGTGGCTTGCCTGATGGACGAGGAGAGGGTTGGCGCCACCCAAATCTCTTCCACTTGAAGTCGGCTCCCCCAAGACAGTGCCTGCCAGGCTCCTTGGCGGCGTTAGGGAGCCGCACTGACCCTCCCAAGCTGTTGTAGCAACCAGACTCTGGGAAACACTTTCCCCTGAACTTCCCAAGAGCATGTCACGCGGCTCCAAGTCTTCAGGATCTTCATGTTCCTGCACCTCCGTTTTAATCACAATCACCTCATCTGCAGCAATAGAGAGAGAATCAGCGACATCACTCCCTTTGCCTGTGTGAGCGAGAGAAAGAAGCCTCTGCTGATTCAGCCATTCAGTGACTCAATGCAGAAAAAACTAAACCTGTCGGCTTATTGAACGTGGCCGATAAAGTAGACAAGGGGGACAGTTTTCAAAAGAGCCTAGGTGGCTTAGGAAACTTAGTCCCATTTTGAAAAGTTACTAGAGACTTTTGAAACTGGGATTTAGGCGCTTTTGAAAACTTTACTCAAGATAAATAATGAGTGCACACATACATGATCTAGGGCCCGATTTGAAAATCAGCAGAGCAGCCCCCTTCCTGCTCAACACTTCTGAAAATCAGACCATTAGCCTCTAAACTGAGAGAGGAGATTTCTGCCCTGAAAACCTGTCTGTAAACGAGAAGCTTCACATCTTTGGGTGGAGCTCTGGGAAAAGGGTGTATTTAAGTACCGGAGTATGAAGGGTCAGCGCTGAGTCCAGAAGGTCTAGACAACTGGAGAGCAAAAACTATCTAGTTAAGGTTATAATTCTATTCCCATTATAATCCTATTTTCAGAAACTCAGTCTTCAAAAGTTACCCTTTTGCCCCGAAACTTTTCATATATGGTCTGAAACCAAAGGAGATTTCCTTCCCCAAGTTTGAGTGACATTTGTCTGGACATTTATAGAAAAATGTAATTAACCTTCTCAGTTTTGTAATTTTGCTGCTGATATTGGCGCTTAGTAGTATCTTAAACTTGTGGGGTCAAATTCTCAGCTGGGGTAAATCGTCATTTCTCCATTGACCTTGATGGCGCTCCACCAATTTACAAATTTCACATGTGGCTAGTCCTTAGTGAGGAATAACTGCTTAGTAAATGGGGGGAAGGGTATTTTAAACAGTAAAGTCATAACGCATAAAAAGTGTTTTTTGTGAATGTGCTGTAAAAATCAGGGATTTGGAGCAATCAAATTTTTGAATTGCTCCGCTCCAGCTCCACTCCGGCACCAACAGTGACTGCTCCAGCTCCGCTCCAGCTTGGCTCCGACCTCTGACTCAAATTCATTTTTAACTAAATAAAAAAGTGCATTCTGTCATTTTGAAAAAACATTATTTTTATTCAGACTTTTAAAACCATTTAAATGTCATCAACAATGATACAAACTAGAATCATTCATAATTCATTCTGTAAAAAATTATTGCAGCAATCAAGTCGTCTTTCACACCCTGACGCAAACCATTTAAAATTAACTTTAAAGCCGAAAACAGTCGCTCTACACCAGATTGAGTTGTTGGCATGCTCGAAGCAATTGTAAAGTCAGAAGGAACAATTGCGATCATCTCGTCTGACTGCCTATATTCCACTACAGGATTTCCCTGAATTAACTTCTGTTTCACAAACAGCAGCTCTTTTAGAAAAACATCCAATCTTGATTTAAAAATTGTCAGTGATGGAGAATTCACTACAACACTTGATAAATTGTTCCAATGGCTAATCACCCTCACTGTTAAAAATTAGTGTCTTATTTCTAGTCTGAATTTGTCTAGCTTCAACTTCCAGCCACTGGATCGTGTTACACCTTTGGCTGCTATAATCATAGGACCACAGGGTCAAAGGGGACCGCAAGGATCATCTAGTCTAACTCTCTGCCAAGATTCAGGATTTGTTGTGTTTAAACCACCCAAGACAGATGGCTCTCCAGCCTCCGATTGAAAAGCTCCAGCGAAGAAGCTTCCACAGCCTCCCCAGGTGTCTGTTCCTTTGTCCTACTGTTCTTACACTGAGGCAGTTCTTCCTGAGATTTCATCTGTCTGCTCTGCTGCAGTTTTAACCAGGGATTTGGAGCAATCACATTTTTTAATTGCTCCGCTCTGGCACCAATAGTGACTGCTCCAGCTCCGCTCCGACTCCGCTCCGCTCTCCGACTCAAATTAATTTTTAACTAAATAAAAAAGTGCATTCTGTCATTTTGATAAAACATTTTTATTCAGACTTTTAAAACCATTTAATTGTCATCAACGATACAAACTAGAATCATTCATAATTCATTCTGTAAAAAATTATTGCAGCAATCAAGTCGTCTTTCACACCCTGATGCAAACCATTTAAAATTAACTTTAAAGCCGAAAACAGTCGCTCTACACCAGCTTGAGTTGTTGGCATGCTTGAAGCAATTCTACAGGCAGCCTGAATGCGGTGTGGGTAGCTGTGAATGGCCTCAAAAACAGACTTAACTTTCAGCCTCCCAATAGACTCCATCGCCTCACAATCTTCCCGAAAGTTTCTCTCAAATAACGCTTCGTTACAATTATGAATTGCAGAAACTCGCCGGCGTCTTTCTTGTTTATCCAATTCCTTTTCAAAGGCGTCCTCTTCTGAAGAATTGGTGCTTGAATTATCTCCATTTCCCTGTGATGGTTGAAGACGTCTCAGGGATGGACGCTCAAACAAGTTCAGAGTGGAGACGGAAGTTTGAGAACAGCCTGCTATTTCTGAAGGATGTGAACTTTCTGAAAACGCAAATTCGATGGTTGAGGACTCCTTCTGTTGTGTTTTGTTTTCTTCAACCTCTTTCGCCGAGTTCAAATGTAGCAATAGATTTTGTTTTTCGAGTCGTCGAGCAATATCAAGGAGCCCTTCCTTTGCCTTTGGTATTTCCCTTGAGGTAAGAAGAATCCGATACCGTGGGTCAACATAAACTCCAGCAAGGAAATGAATATTGTCAAAAAGCTTCTCTTCATGTTTCTGCATGGAGGATAGAATTCCTTCTGCAATTTGTCCACCATTTTCTTGCAAGAATTTTGACAGTTTTCGCCATTCCTTCATTAAAACTCCCGGGGTTACATCGACAGCTTGAAGATTCACGGTTGTTTGGTTTGGTTTTGCCAAGAGGTCTCGCAGGTTCTTCACTTCTTCCCATTCAGCTTTTGTTAACTTGAGTTCTCTTGTTCCAGCAGCAGCCGTCACTTGTTCACAGTAAGATTGAAAAACGAGAAGCTGATCAATCATCGCAAATGTTGAACCCCAGTGAGTCACAGTATCCAATGATTGAGTTACCCCATGTAGATCAAGCAGAACACTTTGAATACTTGGAGTTCGTAATTTGACAACGACTTGTCGAATTTTTGCCAGAAATTTCTTTGCATGTTCTTTGTTCAGTCCATCCCAGATTGCCAACTGAAGAGTGTGAATACCACACCTCATCAGTTGGACTTTTGAGTCATCCTCATGAAGCCATTTTGGAAGTATGAGGCTGGGGTCATTAACCCATTGCGCAGCAGCATCCATGTTGAGTTCGATTTCATCCATTCCTTTAGTGCCTTCATCAGGCAAAACAGCTTCAGTTCTGTCCACATTTGTGTTCTCAGAGGTAGAAATGGTTTCATTGTCCTCGCTGAAATTTTTGACGGCACACGTCATGTTTGCTGCATTGTCAACGCAGATGCTCAGCACTTGCATTTCACTGATCCCAAATTTTTCTAAAATAGCTTTTACTTGACTTTTCACGTACGAAGAATTGTGACGCCCTTCAGTGTCGATTATGTCCAAGGTTTTTACCACAGCTTTATCTTTTCCTTCTTCATAGTACTGAGCACTGATTGCAAGGAAATGTCTGTTTCCACAAGTTGCCGCATCCATTTTCAGGTAGCACAATTTTTGCTCCAAAGCTTTCTTGAGCTCTTGGCGACCAGACTCAGCTGTGCTGACAACTAAATGACGAACCGCATCGTGCCCCGTCGAAACGCCAAGCTGCCGACCCATTTCACCTGCAATTTTTTGGAATCCTTTGTTCTTTAGCCTGAAGGTAGTGAGCGGTGTTGAACTCAAGCAAACCATTTCCATCAGCCCTTCACGGAAAGTATTGGCATCCATGGTGACTGTAACCTTTGAGGACTTCAAATATGAGTCAAGTTTTGTTTGCTCAATTTTGGGTTTCTTTTCAGATGAAGCTCCACAAAAAATCTTTTCTCCGGGAGTTTTCAAAGAGCCAGATGGACGTCGTTTAGCCGCATCAGTTTTCTGTTTTGCCTCATCTTCCTGGTCCTTTTTTGTAACCAGAGCCGCATAGTTTTCAGGATGGTTACGTTTTACATGCCGCCAAAGGTTGAAACTTTTCACGGCACTTGCTTCACTTGTCTTGAAGCTACATGGTTTGAGCTCGCCATTCACTTCCTTTTCCACCTTGCATGTTGCCGATTTCTTCTTTGCTTTTCGCAAAAGCCCAGATTTGGGGTTTTCAAATTCAAAAGTAAAGACGTCGTTGAGATCCTTTTCTGTAAATCGGCTATCAATTATGGGGGGCAGATTTGATTTTTTTGTTGAAGCCATGGCCAAATCTTCTTGTGTTGCTACCGCCTCCGAAGGTTTCTTGTTATGATCTTAGAAAAGCAATGAACAAAAGCATTACATTTTTTATAATGTACCTGCTTGGGATATCTTAACCACTTAAGGACTTCGAATTTATTTTGGATTTTCTGGACAAAAAAATGATCGCATTTTCTTTTTACACAAAATTATTACTAAAGTATATTTTAATATTTTAACATGTTTCTTGCAGTTTTAATGAAGTAAGAAGTATTTTTAATACACATAATATACATTTTTATTTATAAATTGCAAGTTAGTTTTTCTTATGAAATTTTGCTGTAAAAATATTCAAAATATTTTACAAGTTTTTAATTAATATCTCAAAAATGCTTTAATATAGATATAGCAATGAAATGTGGTAGGTGCCGTAGCGTTAGTACGTGCTATCGCTGTTCTACAACATTAACTTTTGGGAAGTAACGAGGCCACACGTTACAAGGCTGAAAATCAACTTTAAACAGGAAAGCGGATTCAAATTGCAAGCACAGTCCTTTTAGTAAAGAAAGCAAATTTTTGGAAATTTTTGCTTCATCAGCCTGAATAGATTATACAAGATAGAGCAAATAACAGGTTCAATCTTGTATGATGTTTCCAGCCTGATGAAGGAAAAACATATTTCTGAAAATTTGCTCTCTTTACTAAAAGGACGATGCTTGCAATTTGAATCTGCTTTCCCGTTAAAGTTGATTTCCAGCGTTCTATCATACAACAGCATTCAAATAACATTATTTAAACTACAGGCGTCGTGAACTGGGGGGACTGGGCCAATTTTATTTAATATTTTTTAAATCTTCGACTGTTTAACAGATACGACCCTGGAATATGATTTAATGCTAAAACATGCATTAAAACGGTACTCTTAATTTATTTTGTATAACTAACTGTTTCCGAGAAAACTGTTTAAAAATTTTAATCTGCTTAGATGCTTAGAATGATACAAACAATTTTACTTATTTATTTTTCAACTTTGGAACCATACATTTTAAACGTAATAATAAACAACCAAAAATTACTAACTTATTATGGAACATAATATTACTGCTCATAGCCAGGGGCAGTCAATGACAAGCCTTTCTTGAAATATGAAATAAAAATGACCAACAGCCAGTTCGGGATGCCTACGGTTTAAATAATTTTGGATAATGTAATATGATAGCACATACTAATGCTAAGACAGACATAATTTCATTACTTTATATTAAAGCATTTTTGAGATATTAATCAGAAATTAACTTTTCATCACCTCCTTGAAGGAACTGTAACTCCCTTAGGAAGAATTTTAGGACACGTGTTCACAGAAACGTTTTTCTTGAAATGACCTAAGGATTCACCCCCAAAGTTGTGTTGGACATTTTCCAACCACTCTGGATATATCACAAAAATCACTCCCAATTTATGTAAAAATGTTTACTGTATATTTATATGCTGCACACGACTTTTTCAGTAAATTTAAAATTACAAACTCCAAAAGAGCGTTGAACAGATGGCATATACAATAAGTCCGCCAGAGTGATACGGTAGCATGTACAAATGTACCGGTAACGAGAGCCCGTGTGAGAAATTAGCTTAAGTGATTAATATCTCTTGCGATATCTTAATATATCAATAAACAAAAACATTATTTTTTTTTGCAATATACCTGTTTGCGATATCTTAAATGTTGCGTCTTGCGTCACGCTTTTCCGTAATGGCAGCACTCAGCGCGTCTCGTTGATCAACCCTTACAAAAGAAGTATCAACACATACTAATCTAACTATCTAACTAATCTATGCGAGTATGTACTCGCCTAACCTTGGCACAAGGGTGGGAGCAGTCTGCAGTGTTGCCGGATGTCTGATAATTATCTGATTCTTTAATAAAACATATCTCTAAAAAACTTGGTAATTTTGTATCTGTACATTAAATCTTGATTTCGGCCAAAGTGAGAAGAACTATGACATGTTATGTAAAGTAGATGTTAATATCAATTGTTATACAATCTGAAACTTTTTGGCACCATTAGGACTTTCTTGCTGAATATCATTCATTTGGATTGAAAATGAAAAAAGAAACTGGAGCAGTGGAGCAGTCAAGATTTTCTGTGCTCCGGCTCCAGGCAAAAACCTGCAGCTCCACTGGTCCGTGCTCCAGCTCCAGGCTCCACTCCAAAGCCCTGGTAAAAATGTCTATTAAATAGTTAGTCCGTGATTCAATACAGCTGCGAAGTTTACACTGTGCCACCCTGTCCAATACTGCTGCTAGGCACTGGATATATTTACTAAGTGCTGCGAACAAATAATGCACAGCGTTGCAAAAACCCGCCAGACACATCTCAATTGCAGCACAGGTAGCTTCTCCCTCCTCCCCTATTTTTTCCTTCTTTTCTGTCTTTTTAAAAGAAAAGAAAAAAGAAATTAAATGCAAAATAAATCTTGTGTTAATGCAATGCTCGGCTCAGAGTTCTGAACGAAGAACTATGGGTAATGCAAAAGTGAAGATTCTGATCATGTTAACTCAACTACATCATGCGACTGTCAAGCTTAGGAAACATTTCTCTTGTAATCATTGCATTTGGACAGTGTCAAGATTGCAAATTGTCTCCTGGATTTGAGGAAAAGAGGATTTCCAGCTATTTCACACCCTATCAAAGTTGTTACAATCCATCTCACCTGCGCAGAGCTCTGTATGGATTTGCCTTTCCTCCGAGACCTGCATATCCTGCACACTTGGCTCTTCCTCGACGTCCCTCCCGCAGGAAGCGTAGCGTGCAGAAGCTTGGCACCCTGTTCACGACAGACAGAGGAACGCATTGCTTTTCTGATCTCCACAAACACTATACAAGGCAATGTCAACTGATCATAACCCAGTGCTGTTTTTGGGCTGGAGGAGACACACATTCTGATTGGCTACAAACATTTCACTGAGGATCCACAGGAAATAAATGCAGAAGGGTTCAGAGCCAGGAGAACTTGAGATTGGTGGAAATCCAAAGGTGATAGCTGCGTCCATAAAGGGGCAGGTGGTACCGATAGGCCTGGGCCTAGAATGGAGCTGTACAGAACAGCATTGCCCCAGGCTTTGCTTCAGGAGAGCTCCCTGGGAGTAGAGTCTGCACCAGCCCTTCGGCGGGAGCAGTGTGCACTCCTCTCTGTGGTTAGCCAGCCCTGCTGGTAGTGTGGAAGTGGTGGGGGAGAGGGGGTAAGGACCTATGTTGTCTCCTTTTGGGGGTACAGCTCACTCGGGACTAGTAGGGAGCAACCTCAGCACTAAGGACTGCAACTGCCAGGATAGGAGAAGGCTCCTTGCACTATAATCTCTTGCTCATCTGTACGGGGACCAGCCAGAGTCTCGACCAAAAGTTTTACTGGATTTCACTCACTGGGCAGCTTAGCGCATCACTCACCAGCGAAGGGGTCTGTAGAGAGCGCTCCTTCCCCAAAGTATTCCTGATCCTCGGCACAGGACTGTTCCTCTAGTTTAATCCACGATAAAACGTCACAGCCAAAGACTGTATAATTAGTTCATGGAAAGAGGTAATAATAGATGCTGTGTTTTATTCTTATATCTCACTGACTCATTCTGACGAAGCATCTGATGCGATTTTAATGTGAACACACAAGGGCTAAACTAGAAATTACATCATGATTGTCCATCCCTTTCTATTAAGTGCTGACATGGGCAGAGATTAGTCACCAAGACAGTTTCACAGAGAAGGGGAGACTTTGGAAAGTGTTCTCATATCTCTTGACTATGTAACAAGTGCTTTAGTGCAGTGATGGATGCTGTAGAAATATAAATAAGTATGGTAGAAAATGTTCCAAGGGCCTAGCTACTACAGCAATGGACACACTAGGAATACCCAAGGTGGACGGAAAATTATACAATCTGTAGAAGCCAGCAAAGGTTTTGTTGGAAGGCTAGTTTCTCTTTCTTTAAGCTCAGCTGATATCCGGAGAACGCTGACACAGATAAGTCCAAAGGTGGCCATTTGGTATAACCACACGTGCAACATTACAGAGCTTTAGGTCATTGTTAAAAATCATTTATATAGTGCTGCAGACTCTAGACAGCACATCAAACCACGCTGAAGTATTCAGATTCATAGATTTTTAATGCCAGAAGGGACCATTATATTTTGTTTCACCTGCATAATGCAGGCCAAAGAAAATCACCCAATAATTTCTGCATCAAGCCCTAACTTTGGTTTGAACTACACACTGGCAAAAGAGAAGGTATAGGCGATCTTGGTGATATAAAAAACAAATTTATTTGAGCTTAAGCTTTCGTGAGCTACAGCTCACTTCATCGGATGCATCCGATGAAGTGAGCTGTAGCTCACAAAAGCTCATGCTCAAATAAATTGGTTAGTCTCTAAGGTGCCACAAGTCCTCCTTTTCTTTTTGTGAATACAGACTAACACGGTTGCTACTCTGAGAAAAGACAATATGTAGGTATATACAAGCACATGATAAATGGCACAGGTACAGATAAGGAGATCGTAGAATATGTATGGCTTGATGCGATCAGTACAGAGTGGGAGTATTACTAAATTAGAAAGTAGTGTACAGGTATAGATAAGGAGAGGTTGAATTGGGTCAGTTTGTAGTGGCTACAACAGCCTGCCCACATTTCCTGGTTGCTGTTATCTTGTGCTAAGCTTTCATTTAAAGAACAAACAAACAAATAAAAATTCTGGTGCTTATGGTTGCCTGCCGACTGAATTTAATCAACCCAATTATATCTGCTTGAGTGTGCAAACAGCTTGAAACAATAGCTCAGAAAGATACACACTGCTCCTATTCAGATTGATGTGGTGTTGCCGCTGGAGCCTACTGATGGCAACTTGAACTCCCAACATTTTAAACTTTCACTGCTGATCGAAGCTCACAAGACAAAAAAGAGGAAGTATCCCATAATGAACTGAGTCATCCATTGTGGAGTCACAGAACGGCAAAGCTTGGACTGGAAATGGGTCTTGGGAAGAATCCCACCACCTTTTTCATCTCCAATCACACGGTGCAAAGGGTTATAAGGAGATGGGTATTTGGAGGTAAATATTTCCACCCATTCTCCTGCATTTTGACAGAAGATCAATAACTTTCCTTCCACCAAACATGTTAAATGTAGAGTGGTCAGCGCATGCATGCTGTTAGGCAGTGGTAGAAAGCTGGCACTAGATACGGGATACTGTAAATTGAGGTAAATCGATTACTCCTTCACCATTACCTTCATTTTGCTGTCAATCAATGTGTCTATTTCAGAGGCATTTATTTTACCCTACTGATATGAATGTCTCTCACTTTTTCCTCTTCACTAACTCACAACTCCAAGCGCAGTTTGAGAACAGCTGTTCAGCAGGCAACCAAGGGATTGATTTGGTCTGACTCTGGGTGTTCCAACAGCTTTAATTTCTTTTAGTTGCTGAGGCCCAAAGGTGAGTCACTGTCAACTTGCAATAGCAGGCAACCAACCAAAAATATGTAAGTCGAAAAGTGTGGTTTATCTTGTTATTGTTGCATTCAGTTAGTGTCTGGCTTGGACAGAGGCAGATTGCCAGCTTTTTACTTCACTCATCCCTGTGTAGAGGGACAGCACAAGCCCAATGGGACTTATGTGATGTCCAGCCTTTGTGCAGGTGTCCTGTCTGAAGAGGTGAATTTTACCCTTTGGAATGGTTTCAATCCATTACTGACCTGTGCTGGGGTCTGCAGGGACACCTCTTTCCTTCGCATTGCCCTGTTCCCCAACACACGGCTCTGCGCCTTGTTCGGTCTGGCACCACTGGCCAGGTGCAGCAACGGGAGAGTCTGCTCACGGGGGGGGCGAAGGGAAAGAAGAGAGAATTCCATTATGTTTATCTAATATCTATTTAGCTGCTGGCAACACATTAAAAATGTCTGAAAAGCTAGAACCACGAGGTTCACAAGAACTTTGGTTCTTGCTTTGTCCTTCCCATGCCCTTTCTAAATTGTTTTAATCCATTACTCACTGACGCACGGCTCAATAGAGATTTTCCTTTCTTCAGTGTCCTGCAGATCCCCGATATACGGCTCCTCCCCTCGCTCTATCCGGGACAGGATGTCAGGTTTAGAAACAGCATAGTCTGTTCATGGGAGATGATATTAGGTGGGATACAGTAGGATGTTTTATTCAGATCAGTTACACAGGGATTATAAGGATCCTTTCAACTGTGATATTCATTAGCTTTTTTTTTTTTAAATCACATTTATAACAAATCAGTTTCAATGAAAAGTAGAACCTGGTTTACTTAAACATTGTCTAGTGAGGGGCCAATCCTGCAGGTGCTTACTACCAAACACAGGACTTATTGCTGGTAGTAGGCCCATTAACTTCCCCAGTCATCACTGTTATTACCTGCAATATAGTAGCACCTAGAGGCTCCAAACAAGATCAGGACCCCATTGTCTCTACTGCCCAAACGTTGGTTCTTTTCACGCCCCATGTTATGGATAATGAGGCTGGGATGAATAGCCTGGATTCATCATACAAACTGCTGACATTGCTCCAGAGAGGCCCGATTCCGGGGAAGCTCTTGGAGGCTCTTTCACTGGAGGAGGTTAATTCTGTGTTCTCCTTTGAGAATGACTGAATGGCTGGTCATTTCAAGGTTTGACACCAGAGCCTGAGTTGGACTGTGGGATGGTGTTTACTGTGGGAGATGTGAAGAGATCATTGAACACCCTCCTCCTCCGTTCCTAGCAGCGGCTATGAATTAGACTCTAATTTGGTCCAAACGTTCTTTATACCACACAGTCATTTGAATAAGGGGGAAAAGGTCCCTATATGGAAGGTTAGTATCACTTTAGATAAGCTATTAGCAGCAGGAGAGTGGGGTGGGAGGAGGTATTTGTTCATGCTTTGTGTGTATATAAAAAGATCTTCTACACTTTCCACAGTATGCATCCGATGAAGTGAGCTGTAGCTCACGAAAGCTCATGCTCAAATAAATTGGTTAGTCTCTAAGGTGCCACAAGTCCTCCTTTTCTTTTTGCGAATACAGACTAACACGGCTGCTACTCTGAAACCTATATGGAAGGGTTATTGTAGGTCAATTTAGCATATTACTCAAGAACAGAGCAACTCCACAGGGATTGACGCATGCTCATTGCATCACAGCTACGCTGTTGAGGATGGAGGACACCAGAATGCCAAAGCAGCTGTGGAATGGAAAACTGGAAGCAGGTAACTATACAGGAGGCAGCCAGAAGAAACGCTTCAAGGACACACTGCAGCATAATCAGAAGCAATGCAACATTGCAGCTGGGAGCTGTCACAATAGACAGATCGCGCTGGCGAGCACTCAGGGATGGGGTTACTCAGATCTTGATCCTGAGGCGCTGAGTCATACACAGCAGCAGATTCAGCGGGCACGGAACATAATCCCTTCCTCAACACTGAGCTACATATGCCCTCGATGCAGAAAGGACCAACACTCTCACATCGGCCTTTTCGGCCCCAACGTAACACTGTCATCAGCCTCATCTGCTGTCACCAAGGGCAACAACAATTCCTCAAGAACGGTGAATTTTAATTAGCTATTCTGTCACTGCCTACACAAAATCAGCCATGTGGGGGGGAAACCCACAATGCCAGTTAAAACACTGTTCCTTCTCCCATGCAGACGGGACCACCAGTGCTAACTATTTTATGCTTCCCCGGGATCTGCAGGAGGAAGTGCACCTGCTTGGGGTTTATATTACCCTGGACTTGACTCTTCAGTTGTTTCTCTTTGGATACATTTTTCATCAACAGCTGACATGGAAACTAGCAACTTTCTGTATCTAGATTGAATTTGAAACGTAGATCCCACTGTGCTTCTAGTATGGGATAAGAGGAGGTGGTGGCCTTAAGCCCAATAGTGTATATTTTGGTATTTCTTCCACAGAAGGATGTGAGGAACTTGAGCTATCATAAACATCTGGAAGACTAATGGCATTGTCCCAGCACAAATCAAAGGAACTGTGAGCAGGAGGAAACCCAGTCCATGAAAGATCTCACCACTTCTAATAAAGGAATGAAAACTGATCCTTACCCAGTGAGATCAGGGTCTCATAATTCCCCTTTATGGTGTTCTTGTAAAGCTCCTTCTGCCATTCATTCAAGCTCTTCCATTCCTGCTCATTGAAATAGACGGAGATGTCATCAAATGTCACCGGTACCTGAAATTACAAGGGGGGAGTCACTCACCACCTTCTAATTCTGTCACACAGACCTTTTTATGTTAACTCTAAGAATGTTTTAAAGTTAATTTAATTTGAGTTTAGCCAGAATCAAGATACCATGGGCCAGATATTCAGCTCGTATAAATCAGCAATACTCAATTGTCTTCAAAGCAGCTATGCCTAGTTAGGCTAGCTGAGGATCTGGCCCCATACAGGGGTCAGAGTTTGCAGCTTGACATTATCATTATTTAATGTGACAGTAGGTCCCAGGGGCCCCAGTCAAGATCCATCTCTATTGTACTAGGTGCTGCAGAAACACAGGAGAAGCAGAGAGTTTATAACAGAGTATCTTTGAACATGCAGATTTAGGGAAATGTTGGACTGCAAACATTGCAGTTTGGGAGTCTTCTGAATCTGGGGTTTGGTTCTGTCCATTGTAGCAACAGGATGCTTCAAAGCAGAGCTTTGGTTCACGCCCATCTCTAAATTAATTGTTCATAAAAGAAAATCTAGACTCTGAGCTCCTCAATTAGTTCACACAGCAAGCAATGGCACCCCCATCTTTACTGTCACCTGGAAGGATCACATTCACAGAATCGGGCCATTCCACGTCTGCTGCCCTTCGGACGCTGGCTTTTCCATCTGCCAACCAGGGGACCAGCTAAGGCTAGTTGTGCCAGGGGTTTCCGGGATGGGATGCCTGTCTGCAGAGAACGTCTGAGCCCATAACCACCCATCCACTCCCATGCAGGATAATGGGAGTTTAATCAAGTAAAAATGATTCACTTTGCAATCTGCAGTTTAAGCATCTTTGATTTCCCAGTGAGAAGGGTCTAACTAACACTGACTGAACAGCTCCAAGGAACCATAATCAGCTGACAGGCACAGTAAATGCCAGCCAATAAGGTGCATTAACTCGGCACAATATGAATGGATTGTTTTCACGGTGTTGGAATTTCGTAACATTAAGTCTGAGTAACACTGACATTAACCGGTCTCGGCGGTTCCCATTTGCATCCCTCTCTTCATGGGTCCGTCTGTACAGTTCTCTCCCAGGTGCAGCACAGTTTCTGCAGGCGCACCGGAAAGCAGACGGGACAGCGTACCAGAGAGAGGCACAGCAGGGTTCATTGCAAGTGGGTTTCACACACAAAAGAAAAGTTTGAGTGTGGAAAGTCCAACCTCTTTCTGGCTGTTAGGCTAATGCGAATCGCTCAGTTGGTATCTGAGATGAGAGGGTAACATTTTGAAATGCACAGGCCCAGTGGGCTTTGCCTATGAGAGGTGCAGAGTGTTGCAGAGGAAGGCTCTAAAATGGCAAAGAGGCAGCAGGGAAAGTCGAAAACTGAAAAGGGCTGGTAAGAGCAGACAGGAAGGATAGTCCAGTGGTTACAGCGCTAAGCGGGGTTCAATTTCTGTTCTTCCACGAATATCCTGTGGAACCTTGGGCAAATCTCAGTCTCTCTGTGCCTCAGATGTACACCTGGGGATTATAGCCCTGCCCTACCTCACGGGGTGTCTTCTCTGACTATGAACTTTGGGCTTCTATCCTTTCCTTAATCTGGAGAGGTTTTTCAAGATGTTAGATTTGTTCTTCCATTCCCTCCCCTTTCCCCCAACTGCTCCCATCAGCACGAGAAGGGAGTGGGGTGAAAGTCATCTAACTAGTTCTGATCAGCACAGGGGTTGGCTCAAAAAACCCTCTGCCACCCCATCAAATCTGAGCACTTTTAGAGCAGCAAAGACAAGGAAAGAACGAGCCTGTGAAAAAAATCCCTCGTGTATCTGGTAATAGAAGGGGCTTACTTAATAAACCTTTTAACATGGTACAGCCCCTTCCACATGAAGGATTAAAAATGCTTTACGAATACTGGTGGCTTAAGCCTCACGTACCCCTGTGAGGAAGGTAAATATCATCCCCATCTTAAAGATGAGGCTCAGAGAAGTTAAGAGGCATGTCCAAGATCACACAGGAAGTTTGTGGCAGAGCTGGGAAATGAATCATAGAATTATAGCGGGTTAGGACTGGAAGGGACCTCAGTAGGTCATCTAGTCCAGTCCCTTGCACTCAAGGCAGGGCTAGATAACAACTAGACTCAGACTTTGATTCCCAGACCTCTGCATTAACTACAAGACCATCCTTTCTACTCTATGCTGACTTCTGCCTCCTTAGTGCTCGTTGAGATGTGCTGTGACAATGCTTATTTTCCTAGCTTATCGCTTTGACCACATCACCCCCCTCTCTGCATCCCTCCACTGCCCATCACATCAACAAGAAACGTCTCCTTGTCTGTATCCCCCATTCCATCTCATCCGACACTTCTATCGTAGATTCCTTGGGAAAGGGACTGTCTTTTTGTTCTGTGTCTGTACAGCTCCTGCCACAGTAGGGTCCTGGTCCGTGACGGGGACTCTTAGGCATTACCACCACACAGATAAAACTAGTTACCTTGGGCACCTCCCCGTTAGTGCCTGGGGGGAGCCTCAGGATCCAGAAGTTTCTGTTCTTCAGCAGGTTCTCCATGTTCTCCAGCCTCCTCTGCAGCAGCCCATACTCCTGGATCAGAGTTCCCAGCACGGCCCACTTACTCTCCAGCTGGTTCCCAAACTCCACCACAGTTCTCTCACAACCTATTAGCTTTTTTTCAGCCATCCACATTCTCCCTTCCAGACCCAGCAACCGCGTGGCATGAGAATCTAATTTCCTCTCAACAGCTTGGACTGCGGCTAGTACAGTCTGAAGGGAAGCCTCTGCACTTGGAAGTGGTGTTTCTTGTACAGACGTTTGCTCCGGGAGGACCGGTGGCTGCAAGGCGGCAAGGGGCTGCGGTTCCACCTCCCATTCATCAGCCTGTTTCAAGGACAGAAAATGAAAACAGAGTTGAAGTCACGTTCCCTATCGGCAAAGTTAGCTAC